GAATTTAAACTGATAATCTAAAAATTTGAATCGTCTGACGAGTACAGATCTGTAATTTTTGTACTGTAATTTTTGGAAAATCATGCATTTGATTTTTATTTTTAATAATTTTAAACTTAATATTCTTCATGTATGCTATTTTACTTAAAGCATTAGCTTAAATAAGATGAGAACCATAGAGGGGATCACATATTTGTAAAACTTTTTTTTTTTTAAATTTTTCTATCTAGCAGATAAGATATATGTATTCAACAATGTTTATTCTAACATTTTTAAGCACATGTGTATATATAGATACATGTGCCTAAAAATGTATATATATATACATACAATAAAATGTATGCAAACGGTGAGTGCAGTGTACTGTTGATTATCCAAGGTAATGCCCAAGCAGATAACAGTAATTGAAAACCATGGATAATTCAAACTGTTAATTTTCTTGTGGTGTTGCATGTTTCTATTTCTGAAACAAATCTATAATTTGTTTTTGAGAATGTTTAAATATTTATCAAATTTCACTGTGTATTATTTTAAATGTTATTTTATAATTGTATTCAAATCCTCTTTGGTGAACAAAAGTCTAATAAAGTTTCATCAGAAGTCTTTTCTGTCGCAGAACTAATGTAATTGTCAGTATCTTCTTCATTTGTATTTTCAGTACCACTCTCTGCCTCTTCTATTCTTGTGACATTTGAAACGATATCTACATCTTTCAAGCACTGAAAGCCCATCTCAGTCAAATCACCATCGAACCATTTCTTGATGTTTACCTGATCGAAAGTTCCAAAGAATTTTACATTTTCTGGCATACAACTTCAGTTATTGCCTCAACTTCTTCACAATTGGATAAATCTCCAATTTCTATAATAGGAAGAATTTTTTTTCTTTTTACTTTGTATATAGCATCCATTACAGTCAGCGTTTTCCAGAATTACGTTAAGTAATCATCTTTTTCACCAAGAATTATGAGAAGACGAGATTGATAAAATCATTTCACTGATATTGTGCTTTGGTACATCAGCTGAACTAAACTGGTAACATTTGGTGGTAAAAATTTAGTTGTCATTAGACCATCTGTTATTTTTATACATTCTTGCACATAGGGCATATACGTGTGTGGGCACAGCCATGCATGGATAATCCACATCTAAAGTGCAGTGTAGTTAGCAGCATATTGTAAAGAAAAGTGCTGGTATGCTAAGTAGTTGAGATATTTTATAATTATAATCAAGAAAGTATATTCTCCTCATGATTATTTCTGGAATTTGAGGGGGCAGTTTCAGAATTTAGTAAATTCAGATAATGAAAAACTGTTTTTATCTACATACATAATATTTGACATGAAATTAAAATTTTTATTTTACATAAATTCAGTGCATTAATAATCCTCTGTTTTTAAAGGAACTTATACATGGAGCTCCAATTGGAGCACCAGTTGCATCTCGTGCACATGTAACTGCCATTTATTGTGAAAATGAAACCACAGAAATTCACTTTACACGAATTGTGGCTGGCTCATCATCAGAGTACAGAATTGATGGAAAGGTAAAAATAATATGTTTTTATTCCTCTATGAAAGGAATGATAATTTTTTTATATATATATATTAGGTATTGAACTTAAATCCAGTTTTTCTCTCATAGCCTGTAAGCCATAATGATTATACAAGTCGTTTAGAAAGTCTTGGAATAAATGTAAAAGCAAAGAACTTTCTGGTATTTCAAGGGGCAGTTGAATCAATTGCTATGAAGAGTCCTAAAGAAAGAACAGCTCTTTTTGAGGAAATTTCTCAGTAAGTATAAATATTCAGTACTTTCATGCCTCTTTTGAAATTCCAAAGGAATATGCATATTATCAGCAAAGTGATTAAGACATCAATGTACATAATGTGCATAATTCCCAGAACACTCATGATGATTAATATTTTTTAATTAGTAATATACTTGGTTTTCATGTGAGGGAACTTGTATTCATACTTTAGTTGTAGAGTCTCACTCTTTTGGGAAGCATACACAAAGTCAAGACTCTGAAAGACATAACCGAATTATCGCTATGTCTAGAGTGCACACGGAAATGTAAGAAGGGTGTAAAAGACCATTTTGTTTAGAATTCCAAATAATTGATCAGAAGGCACTTCTTCTGCTTAGAAAACCAGCTAACATTTATGGTGTAACTCAAAAAATCAGGAATTTTAAATTAAACTAAGTTAAACCAGATGATAGCCAAAGGCTGCGCAGAAATGATTAATGTGATGACCTTTAATGCCATGGCAAGCACTCTTAGCAAGAATTAAGCAATGCCTGAGACAGAATGCTAATATAGAATTTCGACAGGTAATGGGGCCTTTCAACAGGTGGAACATAATCTAAGCAGTCTAAAACCTCCCTTTAAATACTATATCATTCTATCTCATATGAATATGCACAAACTAAAATTAGCATTCTGGCAGGAAAATGGAACGAGAGAAATGACTGCATATTCTGAACATAAAATAACTGGTTAGATAAAATAAATACCTTACATAGTATAAAGCATTATAAAAATTATTAAGCAAACTTGGTGATTCAACTTTCTGAGTTCTGTCAGTGGGTAGGCGATCTCTGCATACCCAGGGATATAATCGCGATAATAATTACATAATCTTAACAGGCTTTTAAGATCTCTCTTCGTTTTCAGCATTTCCAGTTTCTTGATTGCCTTTGCCTCTATTTTCTTCTTGGGATCTGGCTGATGTTTCCCTGATCGAATAATGTGTCCTAAATATTTAATTTGAGGTTTTGCGAAGGAACATTTAATTGAATTGATAGTAAATCCAGGTGACTCTAGTTTGGTGAAAACTTTATCCAGATTCTGGAGATGAGTGTCATAATCATTGGAAAATGTAGCTATGTCGTCAATATAGCTGTTTTTATCTACATATCGAAAATTGTCGAAATTCTTTCAGCATGTTATTCATTACTCTCTGAAAAGTTGCTGCTGCATTCCTCAGGCCAAAAGGTAACACTTTAAACTGATATTGTCCTCGATGAGTTTTGAAGAATGTTCTCCATGGGACTTTACTTTGTTCCTCCATGGGAATTGTGCGATATCCTTTCAGTAAATCCAATGTTGTTATGACATTGGCTGTTCCTATGCTGTACATTAAATCAATAGCATTTTGCACAGGAAAGTCATCTGGCTTCGTCACTGCATTTAATGCTCGATAATCTAAACACAATCTAATACTTCCATCTTTTTTTGCTGCCACAATCTACTGGATGAGCTATTTCTGCATTACTTTCTCCTATTAGACCCAATTTCAGTAATTCTTCTACTTCTTCAACCTTGATTTTCAATGCTTGAGGAATCCTGTAAATGTAAGATTTCTTTCTCTCCATATTCGGTATTAATCTAATTTTCTGAGCTTCAACTTTAGCTATTTTCAGCTTTCCAGTGAATAGTGAGTGCTTGGTGTTTATTTATAAGAGTGATTAACTTTCTTCTTTGCTGCAGATTAAAGTTTTCTAAATTTAGATTCGCATCTGTTTTTAAATCTAGGGGGATTGAGAGATCTTTTTCTGGCAAAGTTGTAATTCCTCCAAATTCTTCTTTTTCAAATATCACTCCGACTGCATTGACACTAGCTTGGAATTTTCAAATTTTATTTGAACGAACAAGTTTGATCTTTCCATCAGGTAGTTTTACTTTATACGAATAAGGTAGACAATGATTCAAGATTTCTCCTGGTGCAGTTCAGTGTGCATAGAGTTTGTTATTTGAATCTGGGATGACTATATAGACTTGTTCCCTGATTCTGAAATTTTTTGGTATTGATCTCCAATTAAAATACTCGGCATATTTTTATTGTTTCTCACTTGCAATTAAATTGGCTTGTTCCAACCTTATTTTTAAATGCTGTAAGTAACCCACTGCCAATTCACTTAGATTAGGTGGTATAGATATCTTTCCTGACCATGAAGACTTCAGTACTGCTAAAGGACCTTGTCTTCCATACATCAACTGAAATGGTGAGACTCCAGTCGTGCAGTTTCCTACTTCCTGGTAAGCAAAGAGCAAGTATTGGTACTTACATATTATGCTTTTGAATGTGAAACTATCACCAAGCAATGTGATTTAGAGCCAATTTTGGGTAATGGTGCCATCATAACACACTCATAACAACTGCGCTTTTCCCTGATGCAACTCCAATCAATTTTCAATAAACCATGTGTCATCAGGTTTGACTGCATTCCATTCTAAGCAAGGCTTCCAGTAAAATTGGAGAACCTAATAAAATAAGAGGAAATCAACAAAAGCCTTTTTCACAGAGCACAAAAACAAAGTGGGTCGAATACTTCCTTAGCAGTACTTATTTGATAGATGGTGCCCAGAGATATTATCAAATGTTTTGTTATAAAGAATTTCGGAAAGGAGTGTGGCGCAGAATTCTGCATTAACAATTGATGTAACTTTGGCAAGATCTCTGCTTACTTTCGTGGGTCTGTGGTAGCAAACATTAGCAATCAACAGGATTATATATTTTACATCTATTTTTCATTTTTGAAGGATTTGGTTTATAAAACTGTTTATGAATAATTTGAATTTTGATGAGGGAAATTCATGTTTATTAAAAAATTAATTAAAATTAACAGAAATTAATTTAATGCAGTAAAACAATTCTTCATAATGGTTGTGTAATGTTACATGTATCAATAACTTGGCAGAATATTTTAGTGGAATCAAAAATACATTCCTAATCCTTTTGTGCTTAACAGTTTAAGCTGTTTAAAGATCATTTTTATGGTAGAAGCTATTTTCAATGCTTGATTTTTATAAAAAATCATCAAAAATACTGTAATTAAGATCCAGCATGTTATAACCTGCTGCTACAATTGCTTATTTGTATTAGAATGTTAATTTAATTTTTCTTTTATTAGCTCAATTGAACATAAAGAAGAGTATGAGCGTTTAAAAACTGAAATGATGAAAGCTGAAGAAGATACCCAATTTACATATCAAAAGAAAAAGGGTATAGCTGCTGAGAAAAAAGAAGCCCGTTTAGAAAAAGAAGAAGCTGAAAAATATCAGCGTTTGAAAGAAGATTTGGTAAGTTAACATTCTAAATTAACTGATTTAGAACAATAAACAATTGGAAAAAATTCTACATTTTTGGAGGACTATTGTAACAACTGAAATATTGTCGAATTTGATGCTTGGGATCCCAAATCCTGGAAAATCTACTATGTCCATGCTAGGAATTGAATTCGTGATCTTCTGGTTGTTATATAGATGTATTGACTATTGTACATCTTTTTTTATTTATTATAATTTTTTTAAGAAGCATTTCAGATAAAGAAGAGTAGTCTCTTGTCTTCAGGAATGAGATATTTGTGCATCTTTAAATCAAAGGGATTTTTATTTTTAAAGTATTTTAAAATTTAATATACTCTTATGCATTTAATCATTTTTTACATGGCAGATATTCTATCATGAACATGTTAGTTTTATTGAACTGAATATTTTCTTCAGGCCTAAAAGCCTGTAAGGGTTTTGGTAGTATATACAGTAATACAAACAGAATATTTTCTACATGAAAATAATTCTGATATATATTGCTTGAAATTTTAATAGTATGTATATTTCATAATATGTGAAATTGTTTAAAAATAATAGTTGTCAGTAGTTATCAGACCGTAAATACAGGACTGGTTTATAGTTCAGAAATTAGTGATGTGCAGATATTAATCTGAATTAAAAAATGATCAGATACAAAGCTTTCAAGTTAGGAGTTAAGGTTTGCAGAGGGAGGGGTTATGCAAAAATTACTGGAATTAACAGAGAATTAAAATTTTTAAACGAGTAAATTAGATGATAAATTGTTATTGATACACTTTATAATATTATACTTTATATGGTACTTTTGTCATTAAAATGTTGAAAAATTGTTCTCCCCTTTTTTTTAAACTTAGTTTTTATTACATAAATGTGAATTATATTTAAAAGATGCTGCCTTATTTTTCTAAGAAGTCCTGTAAATCTTTTTACAAATATAAATTTCTAAAAATTACCATTTTACTCAGATGCATGAAAACAAAGCAAATCTCACAAAAACTTGTGTTTGTGAACATTTTGAATTTTGATAAATTGTAGAAAAATCTTGGGGGGATGAATATAAAATTTTTTGTTAGATTATCTACATTATATTATTTGTACTGTAGATTATTTGTATTTATTATTAGATTTCTGACCCCTTTTCAGATACCTTTCCTTCAGAAAAGAGAAAAAGTATATGAGAGCTTTATAATCATTTTACTCTGATTGAGATAAATGGATTTTATATGCCCTGAGTACATCAAGATATGAAAAATATGCCAAGCCTATGCATTTACTCGAAATTTGAATCCTTGCTTGTTACTTTGCTTACTAATCCTTGCTTAATGGAAATTGTTTGCTCAAACTTCCATATCAGCCTGGCGGAATGTACTTTTGTAAATATATGATATTATATGTGTCGCTTCTGCCTTGCCATTTTAATTTTCTACCGAAGTTATGAATAAAATTCTAAATATATAGTGAAATGACAAATAAAAGTAGAAATGCTCAATTAAATGTCAAAATTGTGGAGGAATTATCTGGGAATGTAAATTGCATCTCTCTTACATATTTCTGTGTGATTATTTTAGTGTCCACAGAATTAATTGTGATGAAGACTGAACTTTGAAAATGAACAATTTTTTTGTTTAATCTTTTTCTTTCTTTTCCGCCCTTGAGATTTGAAGAGCAGGGATGATATTGAAGTCTGATTTTCCAATTTTGATCAGTCTATTGGTTTGAAAAAGATAAGTCATTACTGCCTGTTGCATTATTCTAAAAGTTATTTGAGTGTTTTTTTATTTCCTTGTATGAAGTAAAAAAGAAGTATTGTAATCGCAAAAAGTTTCAGGCATCATATTTCAACTAAAATATCCATTTTGACCACTATCGAATGCAATTTAACAGTGTTTTTGAGTGACATCTGTACATAAGGACAGAATAAAAGACTCTTTTTCCTCCAAAAAAATTATAAAACTGCTTTAAAATTAATTCTAAAGGAATTTTTTGTGGTGCCTGTACGTACGTATGTATGTATCTTGCATAACTCAAAAACGAGTAGCCTCAGAAAGTTGAAAATTTGCATATAGGACTGCTATAACATGCAGATGTGCGCCTCGTATTTTGGTTGCAATCGTCCACACCAAACGTATATATTTACATACATATCCACTCATTACTGGCTCATTGACTGGCTCAGTGATCTCAGTTTCTTTACTCTTATATGTTTATAAAATTGTGCATTTTTTGCTTTAAAAATTATTGAATTATGTTGTTTATCTTCCGGTTAAGGTGTTTATGCCTTTAGTAAATCTGTATGTAATATTTTTAGAATTACTAACAATTTAAAAGCTGTTTAAGTGCCACTAAGCCTAATATTTTTTGCCATGACGGCCATTGCTTGTTTACATTTGAAACAGCAGAATAGTAGATTTGTTGCCAATCTAGAGAGACTAAGCTTCACAACAACAAAGATAACGCCTTCATTTATTATTGCGAATTAAATCACGCTTAATCTTTTTTGGAATTTTTTCGAGGAAATAAGTGTTTAAGATTTACTTCGTAATTTTTAGTATAGATATGAGTTTTTTATATATTTTTGCCTTGTCGCGAAATGAGAACTGAATTGAACGTCTGTGAAAAACTGCTCTTTTTTGTTTTGTTTGCTTAATTTGTTTTATACACCATTCTAGATTTATTTGAATAGAACATGTAGCAATGATTAGATAATTCTTTAAATGATATAAATTTTGTGCATTCTGAGTTATAATATGAATGAAATATAACGCTGTTAAGTGAACCTAACGTCACACTGTCGCTATGGTAAACAAATATAGTGAATTTTAAAGAGTGTATTTATTCTATTGTGGTTTATGTGCTATCGATGAAGTAGATTTAATTCAATCCAATAAGTTTAAATGAAATGCAAGAAAATATGCATATAATTTGATATTCCGTACAAGGAAGTCGTGGTGTACACATCAGATTTTTTTTATTGTTTTAATGAATTGTAACCTGTCTATTGTTCCAAGCATCCAGTGTTTCTGTTAGAAATTGTTAAAACTATGAATTAAAAAAAATCATTTTTGAAATTGTAAACACACAATTAAATGTGTTAAATTAAACATGCACACATTGTCTGATCTCCAGAATTGCGCTCTCATTGTTCTCAATGTGTTGTTTAGCTTTTCTTTCACATGTGCCAAAAGGCATGGGAGTTGTATAACAGAAAAGTACCATAAAAGAAAGAAAGAAAACATTTTTGCAATGCTGGCTGATTTTTTTTATACCCTATATTATATCATTTAAGTGCACATAAGATATATAGCTTTTACTTTAGTTTTTTTTTTTTTTTTTTAAATCATTTTTCTGTAAAATACTGCCTGAAATCTTTCTTTCCTTAGTTTCGTTGTATTTTAAAATGAAAAACTTATTGAAAATATTTAATGTATAGAGTATTTTTTTCCATAATGTATTGAAATATTTGAAATTTGTTATAGGCTACAAAACAAGTGCATTATTATCTTTTCAAACTTTATCATAATGAACAAGACATTGAAAACATGACTGAAGAACTGGCAGAAAAAAATAAAGAATTAGAAAAGGTCTGTCGCAAAAGGGAAAAAATTGAGGAAGAAATCAAAGATAAGAAGAAGGAGCATGGGAAAATGCAAAGGGAATTTTCTAAAATAGAACAACAGATTCGAGAAGCGGTAAGTAATTTTAGTATTTTATAAATCTGGAAAGTCTAATTAGAAAGACTCGAATATTTTTAATTGTTCCTTATGCTGATATTGCATAATGTAAAAGTACATAGATGTTTTAATTTTATTGTTCTGTTTTTATATATGTATTTAATTTAATATGTATTTAATGTCTTAGGAAGTTGAACTGAATAAAAAAAGGCCAACTTATATAAAAGCAAAAGAAAGAACAACGCACATGCAGAAAAAATTGGAAACTGCTAGGTAAGTGAAATGTCCTCCATATTGTGAGCCATTGTATTTATGTAGTAGCTGTTAATTTTTAAAAACACATTTATGGAGTTTTTGCAAATAAACATGTGATAAAATAAAATGAAATTTTCTTTCTGTATTTGTAAAATTTTCTCACAGATCTTGCAGTTAAATATATGATCGTGTTATATTTGAAATCTTGAAATTGCCTGTTTTTTTAAAGGAAAGAGTCTAGTCTAGTCATAATCTGTAATTCTTGGTAGTGTAGTTTAGTTCAGAGATCTAGTTTTTTTGCTTCAACTCCTTTAAAAAGTACAGTTTTCTTCATTGACACCTTTAATTTTTCTCTGTAATATACAGCGTGCAACATAATCATGATACAAATAATTGTGGTTTATGAAATTTGTTTTATTATTATTACAGGGTTCGTACGGTCCTTAAGAGTCCTTAAAAGTCCTTAAGTTTTTTGGAATCGATTTTTGGTTTTTAAAAGTCCTTAATTTCGGCCAAAATCAGCAGAAGGTCCTTAATTTTAATCATCGGAAATAGCTGTCTGTTTTTTACGACTGCCATTTTGAGTGTGAATTAGCATTTTGGAGGAATATTTTTGGTGGTTCAACTGACAGATATGGTTATCTTTTGAATGGGTTATAATTCGTTCCTATTTCTAATATAAATCGTGGGATTTTCGAGTTTTATAGTAAAAGAAGTGCAGCATAAGTATTTTGAAATGATTTCATTTTTTCTAATGAAGAGCTCTTAAACAACTTTTGGCTTTTCGGGATGTGAATTCTTTTATTAAACGGCTCTGAATTCGGCGACTTATCAGCATTTTGGCGATTTTAAGATCAGTTTCTGTAGAAAATTTTGATTTCGAGATCTGGGAATTTTTCGACATTTTTTTAAAACATTGTAACATAGATAATTTTCATTAAAATAGTGGTAAAATATTGAAATTATGTTTAAAAAATAACATTAAAATAAAACGTTTTTAATTTTCGCTGTCATATTATAAAGTTCCATTTTGGCCACTTATTATACAATATTTTGAATCTGCAAAATAAGCAAGGTATACGAAACAATTAACGAAACAGTTTTAGCAAAAGCAAAATAGCTATGTAAATAATTTAAAATGTCTTTTTAAATTTTTCATGGTAAGAGTTTTTCGAATGTAATTGTCTCAGAGTATTCAGAATTATCAGAATATTAAGTTTTCTCTATAAAATGAATTTTACACCTTTTCCCTCTGATATTTTTTCTCAAAATATTTCTGGCTTTTTACTGTTACAGAATTTTTCTTTAGGATTTTAGACATTGCAGCTTAGAAAGTTTAGAAGGATTTGAAGGCAAAATTTATAGACGCAAGATTCTAGAAAATTGCAGAAAATGTCTCCATGCTATTAACACGTAACGAATGTATTTTGCAGAAAGTTTACAATGTATTTCTTACTTTTTGGAGAAGGTCTGGAAGAACAAAGAAAACATAATATTTGAATGTTTTACTTCTGATACTAGAATCTTTTTCTTAATGCATTTATCTTCCCTTTATTTTTTCTAATTTTCACTAGACACAGACATGGAAAATATCAAAAATGCTTTTATTCTTATCAGAAGGACAGGCAATTTTTTTCTTAGTAAAGAAATTGAAAACTGACAATTTAAATGATTCATATTATATGTCTGAATGCATCATACACAGAGCTGGCACTAGGCATTTTTCCACCTGATGCAATCTGCAATCTCTGCGAATCCTAAATTCTGCTTCCAATGCCTGCTCTAAATTCTAAAGTTTTACCATTTCTAGATTTTGTTGCTTGGTGTGTCACTAAATTCTAAAAATTCTGCCGCACCGTCTCTGTAACCAGCCCTTACCATATATATTTCATATTGCTTCTGAATGTTCATATTACTAAAGATATAAAATTAGCAGCTTTTTCTATGCTTTCTAAATTTAGTGTTTTTAGAATAACAGAAATCTTTAAATTCTAAAATGAAAAGGAAACGTGCTGAAGAAAGATTCTTCAAAGATATGTACTGCTATTAGTATGTACAGTTATTATTATGTAAATTACCCAGTAGTTTATAATTTCAGGCTTTACTATAATTTCCCATTTCTGTTTTCTCACCAGAATGCAATTCGCTTAGATAGTTTTTAAAGTGAGGTGTATGGAGTGTAAGACAAGAGTGTGTTTCTGTTCTCTACATACTTGCTGCATTAGTTCCTGTCCAAAATGAGACATAAAAATATCAACATGAAGCTAACTATTCATTTAGAAGTAAAACAACAATCTTAATAAGTCTAACTGTTAGTAAAACGTAAATAAAATATCACTTATCTTCTTTCTAATATGTCCAACTATTAAAAGTGTAAAATATTTAATGCTACTTGATTAATTTCATAAAGTTTTATTTTATTCTATAACTTATTAATAATTATGTTAATTAAGTTATGTTTAATAGTAATGCATCCTACTTTTATGTTTAAGACGGTATTACAAAAGTGAAGTTCAGGCACAGATAGTATTTTTAATTGAATTTGTTCAGTTCTCATTTGCTCATAGGTCCTTAATTTTTTCATTAATGGTCCTTAAAAGTCCTTAAATGTACTTAATTTCCGTGTGCAGAAAAACGTACGAACCCTGTATTAGTAGTAGTAGTAATTATACAAAGCTTTTCAGAAATAAAATCGCAGATTCTAATCACACAAAAGCTTTATTTTAATTAATGCGCTAGTTACGCTTGATTTATTGATGCAATTTTTTAATATTTGGCATTTCCTTTGTTCAAAAACATTCAATGCATTTTTTGTTTTTCATAATAAATTATTGACTTGCATATCTTCTACTAGGTAATAAGAGGGAAAAGTCAATAATGTTAGGTAACAGCTTTTTATTTTGAGATATTTCTGTGGAATCGCTTTTAAATTCCAAGCACGTGTTTTTAAAATACTTGTGCTTAAACTTCCTCCTTTAACCCTTTGACTACTAATAGAATATATATGTCCAACTAAAAGTTTAAAAATCTGTTATCCAAAGGGTTAATGCAATCGACTCTTCTTGCATCATAGTATCGAGATCAAATATATCACAGTTCAGCTGTTTTATGAACCATGCTAGCATATTCAGATTTTCATTGTCATGGAAGTAAATCTTTTAAATTTTAGTTCAGCGGTTTTATGAACCATGCTAGCATATTCAGATTTTCAGTTTCATGGAAGTGAATCTTAAAATCTTTTTAATTTTAGAAGTGGCTTGTGTATACCAATATATATTTTGAACTTTTTGTGTTCTTTATATTTTTAAAGGGCCAGTATGTGTGTTTTCCTGTGTTCCTTACTTTTTACTTTTTTATATTGCACATTTGTGTAAAAATTTTATGTATTTTTAAAAGGTATTATTGATTTAAAAATATTATGTAAGTTTTGTGAAATCTTTTCCATGTATTTATTTTATATGATTTATTCTTCTCTATATAATGTAGCTTTATATCAGTAACAACTGATTATCAGTTTTACGATGTTAATAACTTTTTATTTCCATGTACGAAGTAAAGGAAGTATTGTAATCGTGAAAAATTCTAGGTACCATATTTCAACGAAAATATCCATTTTGACCGCTATCAAATGCAATTTAACGATGTTTTTGTGCGACATCTGTTCGTAAGGACAGAATAAAGGACTTTTTCCCCAAAAAAGAATTGTAAAACTGATTTAAGATGGATTCAGAAGAGATTTTTGTGTGGCATCTTGTACATATGTACATATGCATATATCTTGCATAACTTAAAAAATAAGTAACCTCAGAACGTTGAAATTTTGTATGTAGGACTGCTATAACATGCAGTCGTGCACCTCCCTTTTTGAATGCAATTGGCAATGCCAAAAGTATATAAGTATATATATGTAAGATTAACAAAATACGATGGCAATGCTAAGAAACGATTGGCGACCTCAAAATTAACTATTCTAAATTTTATTTTCTCCCTCCTAAGTTCAACTGTTCTACCACATTCGAGATCTTTCCATGATACATAACAACCTAAAATTAAGCAATAGCTTCTTAGGTAAGCGGCCCTGAATTGCATGTGAAAAGCTGTTTCTTTTTTATTTGTTTAATTTCTTTTATACATCATTTTCGATTTATAAAAGTATTTGAATAGAACCTGTGGCAACAATTAGATATTTCTTCAGGTGATATAATTTTTCTGCATTCCGAGTTATAAAATGAAAGAGATGTAATGCTGTTAAGTAAACCTAGCGCCAGAGTGTCGCTATGGTAATTAAATACAGTGACTTTTAAAGAGTGCATATATTGTATTGTGGTTTAGGCGCTATCGACGAAGTAGATTAAATTCGATTCAATAATTTTAAATGAAATGCAGGAAAAAATGCGTATCATTTAATATTCCATACAAGGATGCCATTTGGTGAACACATCAGCTTCCCCCCCCCAATCAATTGGATCTCCTTTATGCAGATCGATTGTCTATGCATATCCAGCTCTCGACAGCCAATCAACCCCTTATCATAGCTGCCAGCTGTTCCAATTTTTCATCCCATTTCATGGTAGACTGCCGAATCTCTTAGTTTTTAATTTTTAGCCTTTTTTTTTTTTCTGTTATTAATGCAGTGTCAACTTTCCTTGGAGAAAACCAAGGTCATTGTAGAGCATAACAAATAGTAATAGGCCAATGCGACTGTTCTCAACCACATGAGGCAGGTGAAGAAGAGCATGTTTTTCATTGAAAATATAGAATCTGTGCCAATGCTAAAGTAAGTGAAGTGGTATGCCTAACTCATTTGAAGTAAAGAAATTGTTTTTGGTTTTATGCTGCTTTTGCTCACATGTGCAATTAGTTTCTTAGGAATTAATTTTGTTATCTGTCAGTTAAATACAGTGTGCCAAAGTATGCCAAAATATTATCCAAGCTGTAAAGAATCTTACTCAAAAGAATTTGAATTTATTTCAAAATTTTCAAAGGGAGAAACCACATACTTATTGTTTGATATGCTCAGTGCATTTCAAAATTTCTCATAATGGAAAAGGAGATGTAGCCATATGTTGCAAAACCAAGAAACATGGACCAAAAGATTTAAGAGAACAAAAAGCAAATATCAAAAGCAATTTTAATGCACAAAATAATAGCATGATATGCGCCAAATGTTTAATGACATTATTTATCGTAGTTCACATTTCACTTCTAAGTTGTGCAAATGTTGTAGACCCTTTACAAAAATGGGAATCTTTCTTGGCAATAAAGTTGCAAAACGGTATGCCTGTGCTCAGACTAAAATAACTGCTGTAGTTAAGAAATGGGTTTAAAAAGAAAAAAGTGTAGTAATTAAAGATTTGCAACTCAAGCTATTCAGTATTTCCACTAATGGGAATAATATAGATAAAAAAATTATATTCTGTGCTGCTTTCTTTGGACACTGTTTGATAGAAATTTCCCTTCAAAATAGCAAAGTTAAGGGTAGCTAGGAAAGTAGTACAGCACAATTAAAGTAACTGCGAAACTTACCAGTAAAAAAAAAAAATATTGACTTCAGTCTAGGGTTGCTTTTTTGCCTAATTTTATAAGGATAAACATTCATAACTTGTTCTATTAGTGGGATTTGTTAATATGACTTTCTGTTTTTTAACGTAATGGCAATATTTGATCCATTGGGGGTTAAACCGAGTCACTTTTCTAAGGCTTAATACTTTGTAAATCTGAATTTTGTTATAAACAAAATTTTATTAACTCAAAAACTAATAATAAGGAATTTTTAACTGGTGAAATTACTTTTCAATGTGCCCTAAAGTATACCTGCTGTAGAGAGTGCAACTTTCCTGCTACAGATTAAACTTAACAGAAATGTTCATTTTGTTTGAATTTTTAGGTTATTTGTTTATTTTTATTGATCCTCCTCCAACTAATAACCCAAGAGGACAGATACTGTGAGGTCAGCCCTGCAAAATCATACAACCACATAATGGACCATTAGTCAGGAAAATGGGCATGTTTGCAGTATGCCCAGTATCCGCTCGTGTGGTGTGTCAATGTTTGCAGCCATGTAGACTATCAGCAGGGTGACCATTATTTTGGCTTCCCTTAACACTGCAGCATAGAGAGAGAAAGACGGTGACTTTGGTGCACCAAATGACAAAGCTGCCAGAATGTCGCGTTTTCAAACCAGTCCCGTTTCTATGTGCAGTATTCTGATGACCATATACGTGTCTGGAGTGTCCGAGGAGACCACACGTTGCCTTATTGCATTTGATATCGGCATAGGGGCCTAGCACCTAGTGTGATGGTTTGGGCAGCCATTGGGTACATGACACACACATCTCTAGTTCGGATCGTTGGTAATTTGAACACAGATGGGTGTATTTCTAACATCTTATGTCCAGTGGTTGTGCCTGATCTTCGAGGCCTGCCAAATGCCATCTTCAAAAAACATCACATGTTGCATATTGTGTTTTGACCTTCTTCGGTACATGGAGTATTCGATTGCTGTCCTGGCCTGCACAGCCTCCAGATCTGTCACTCATTTGAAATGTCTGGTCATGGGTTGCTGAGAGACTGGCCCACCCACCCCTCTCCAGCTAATACGGTTGATGAAGTGTGGCATAGAGTTGAAGCAGCGTGGAATGAGTTGCCAATTTTGTCATCCAAGCCCAATTCAACTTCATGCCTAATTGGTTAAGGACCATTATTTGCCAGGGGTGGCAGCTGTTTTTACTAACTTCGTACTACTACCCTTGTAAACCCCTAAACTGCTTTAAAATTTAATCGTTTTGTCTTCATGCTATACTGTTTGCATACAATAAATATCTTTTTTGCATTTGCTTTCCTTCCTGGTGTTCGATTGAATGGCCAGCAGCATAGATCCTTTATTTTTTAAATTTCCAAAGTTTATTTTTGGCTATGGAGTAAACTGCTGGTAACTCAAATCACACTTAGATTTAATATTTAAGGGATATTAATGTTTTTTACATGTTAATATATTTTTATTTATTTATTTATTTTTTATTTTTATTTATTTATTTATTTTATCATAAGAATCTGGGAAGGGGGTGTCTTAAGAGAATGGGGGAAAAAAGTATTTTAAGTGAAGTAACTTACATTATTACCTGACTATGAAATTTAGGGCAACATAAAAGTTTATTTCAGAAATTAGACTTAAACCTTTTTAAAAAGATCTGTTGTATTCCATTTCTAAAAAATTTCATTTTGTGTGTGGAGCAGATAAATCAAAAAAGAATCTGGTGCTCATCCTCTAGATAACTTTTGTTTTTTTGACTCGCTTTTTCCCAGAACGAAGTTAACATAAATAAAAAATTTTCGGTGCACATTGCAAACTATCTTTTTTTTTTAAAGAATGCTACTGCTTTTATTTGATACAAAATTCTTTTTTTGTTTGTTCGTTCTGCATGGCTTTATAGAGCTACTGCATTACTTCCCAAACTATGAATATATGATATCTAAGAATAGCTTATGTTCAAGCATTTCAGGTGATTGATATTCAGAAGAATGTGATACATAATATTTATTTTGTTTTATGTAGCATTTTATTTATTACAGGGTAATTGATTACTGCCGATTACTTTTTCATGAATTTAACATAAAATTACATTCTTTTCATGTAGGAAATCTTTAAAAGCTGCTAAAAAAGTGAATGAAGCGCACGAAACAGAAATAAAAAGTTTGGAAGATGAGTTGGCTGAAGTTGAAAAAGCACAACAAGATTTCGAAGAACAACTTGCTGAAGAATCCAAGTCAGAAGGTCGAGATCTGACCCTTCAAGATTCTCAAGTATGAAATTTTATCATTATTCTTTTTAATTATTGTTTTTTGGTGGAATTTAGAATATACTGTGAAGTTGCAATAGACTAGATGGAATTTTTTATGCAGTTGTAATAAATTGTCATGTTACATTATCTTGGACTTAAAAGATGCATGAAATTCTGAGAAATTAATGTTGTTGTTATTACTGCAAAAATGCAAATGATAACAAAATTTCTTAAGTAGTGTTCTGAAAGGAGTTTAATATTAAGGCAGGCGAAGCAGTTTTCAAATTTATCTCGATCACACAATCAATTACATCATAATAGGGTCTCCATAACATTTAACTACTCAGGTTGTGGGGTTCCACTCTTTTATCTAACCGCTAAATGTGCAGGAAACTCGTGAACAGATAAGCAAGTAATCTCTTAAGTTCGAGAGCAGACTTAAAACTCAAGAAGTATTAATTGCCCTTTAGTATTCAAAATAAGAATGTACAGTCGGCTCCTTTCTCAGAGCGTACAGCAAAGCCTCCACTTGGGATTGCTAGCTTTAATCTCAGGACGGCTAGGGGTAAGTCGGGCTTTCACTTTTCGTTCAATCAGGATAACTCTTGCATTTTATAAATGCTTTATTATTACAGTAAATATATACATATATACATATCATTATGGAACATTCTTAACATATTCACGAATTAATCCTATTCTCTCGCTTCCCAATTCTCGATTGATATCGTGTGCCCCCTATCGGCAGCTTTTCTACAATGCCACCTATCGGCTGATAACACTCGGTCATTCTGACCTGACAATTCGTCCCGATTGTTCTGCGCACAAATCAATTTTATAATTAATACAATTTCCTACTTCAACTCTTCCGGCTCACCAGCGGCCTTAGCGGTACATAGTCGCTAGAACACTAAGAAGAATACACATTATACAGTCAAACGTCTTTAATCCGGACTCGTCAGGACTTCGGCATTTCCAGATTATCGGTTTTTCCAGATTATAGATCATCAATTTAAATCTGGTAAGATGGCACGCAGAAATTATAAGCTTAATAATTATTTGTTTACTTTAAACATTTCTTTCAACGCGCGCATGCATAAAGCATACATTACGCATAGTCAAAATTAGAAAATTGCAATCAGAAAACTATTTGATGTGTATTCGTGATATTTATAATGAGGAGGAATTTGATTTAAATCATATCAAAAACGGAGTACATCAAGATGAAATGACATCAATAAATAAATAAGCCAAATAAAATAAAAACATCTGCCCTGAAGATAAGGATAGTGCTGACAGATCAACTTCCAGTTAATCCCTTCCCCTGCAGAGCAGCTGTGAAATTAATAAAACAGATTTCGGAATGGTTAGAGAAACAAAGGATATACCTTTATCCATTTCTTGCAGCAATTCCACTTTTTGTCTGATGGACATCGAACCATGCTTTCGCTTTGGCAGCTCCAGAATCGGAAATTTTTTTTGACATAATCGAAGGTTCAAGCTTACTTTTATAAAATTGCTCTAACAGTCTGCAAAAAATAATAACCCGGATTCAATTAAAAGATTAAGGAACAAACGCAATCTGCAACATTAATTGAAATAAATAATTTTAGCTTAGCTTATACCATCCGTTATATATTATAAACGAGCATGCGCAAACACATTATGCGTTCACGCGTGCGCAGAAAGTTGGTAGCTTTTGAGGTCCGGATTATAGATCATTCCGAATTATGGACGTCCGGATTAAAAACTTTTGACTGTACTAAAATTTGATATGATAATAAACTTACTAAAATATTTTCACATACATAAATTCACATATTTTTTGATACATTAGCATAATAGTCCAAAAATTTTCTGTAAATCATTACTAAATACGTTGTATATATGAAATAACTCAATTTTTATCATTTCTCAAATTATTCAAAACAAATGCACTAAAGTCTTTCAGCTAATGTTCAAAATTTCAAAGTCAATTAATGTTCAAAAGTTCAAAGTTTCTAAAGTTTTCTATCAGCAAACATACGTAGCTAAGCACACACACACACACACACACACACACACACACACACAAAAGGGGGGAAAGATCTCATCTTAATCACAGGGGAGAGCACTTCCATCAGTCCTTACGAACAGATCTGATTGGATTCCGTCGAGGAATTAAGCTTGATAACTGATCAGTATCTTGATCATCATCGTCAGAGTTGGGATCACACCTCCATGGCTTCAGCTGGCTCACATGAGCAGTGGTAGTGAAGTAGCGACCTCGATTCTTCGCTTCTAGTTGAATTATTCTGTAGGTATCGCTAGGTAACATTTCCGTTATTATAAATGGCCCTCGATATTTCGGCTGTGTTTTGGTAGGTTGACCTGTAGCCTTAGGAGCGCATCTCATCACAACTATTTCTCCTTGCTCAAATATTAGTGTACGACACCTCTTCCCATCAAATCTCTTTTTCATTTTCACTTGCTGTTCCTCAGTTCTTCCTCGCATTTGCTATCGTTCACATGGATCAATTGGGTCCTTTCGTAAAGAGTTCGTGAGGTAATCAAGAACTATTAGTGATAATTGATAACATGACTAGGTTCATGAGAATTTTTGCAGTTAAGAATGCTAGTGCTAAAAATGTTTTAGTCTTTGAAAAATTCTGCTAACGATTTTGGACTACCAGAAAGAATAATAAGTGATAGAGGATCTTGTTTTACTTCTCACCAATTTAAGCAGTATTGTACAGATATCGGAATATATCATACTTTGAATTCTACCAAACACCCCCAAGCCAATGGTATGGTAGAGTGCGTCAACAGAACAATTTTAGAAACAATAATGATAAGTTTGATGGATAAACAACACAGAGATTAGGATTCAAAAATAAAAGAGACAGAAAGAAATCTTAACAGCATGGTAAACAAAACTACGAATAAGACTCCATTTGAAATGCTACATGGATATTCTCCCAGATTTAATGATGGAATACTTAGGAAGTTAGCAGATAAAGATTCAGATACATGGAAAGACCCGCGAGAAATCCAAGAGCAAGCGTGAATAAATATATACATATCATTACGGAACATTCTTAACATTAATCCTATTCTCTCGCTTCTCAATTCTCGATTGATATTGTGCGCCCCTATCGGCAGCTTTTCTACAATGCCATCTATCGGCTGATAACAGGATTGAGCTCAAAGTAATAAAAAATAAAACTTAACTAAAGCTTAACCAAGAGATATAGCCCAAGCTATCAAGATTTCTAAACGGTTGGCCTCTAAATATCAAATAAACTGGCGAAGCTATCAAGGGTCTGAAATATGGCCGAGCGTAGTAATAGCTTAGAGAGACGTAGCCAAAAGGCGAACGTACGCTAGTCAGAAACTCTGGCTCTCTAACGAAGTCAGTGGAACTTCCAACTTAAATACCACTCTTACTCATTTACATTAAACACAATTCTAAAAACACGTTCTGGTAGGAAATTGTAAGCTGAAATTAGGAAGGACTGGAAAATAGCTTTAACTAAAGATAACTTTTAAAAACTTAGGAAAAAACCTTACAAGGTTACCATAAATGAAACAAGAACATGGCGATAAATTGCACCCTTAAAGCTACTCTAACCGAATAAGTTTTCAATAAAAGAAAATGTGCAGAAAATAGTGAATTTGCATTGGAACAAATTTAGTAATAAATATATCCTTTTTTTTTTTTTTTTTTTTTTTTTTTTACAATAAGTGTATGAAAATGAATATCTGAGTAATGAACCATTTCAGTAGTGAAATGAGTTTGTAGCAGTTTCTGAACATGTTTTGAATTGCTGAAGAATTGCAGCAACAGATGCATGGAAGTTTGCCAATTGATTCGTAATGTATTGAGCTGTTAGTGGAAAAATACAGAATTGAGTGAAAGCAGAATTTTTAAACACCAGTAAATTGATTTTTTAAGAAAAGTGGAATTTTTCTTGTGATTATGAAAACGTTTTATAGATATTTTATCATTGTTTTGTGTCTTTTTGATGTTATACATGTCTAATAATTTAGTATGTGAGAGAGAAGATAAGTAATTTCAATTGTGATTGATGTTTGTAGATGGTGTTGGCATGTAAAATTCGTAACTCTGTAGTAACTTTAGTGTTTGTAACTTTCTTTAGTGTCTACATGCTTTATTCCTGGACAATGCAAATTAGAAGCATATTTTGATTTACACATCATTATGGATGCAACCTACACTCAATATCTATATTTTATGACAAAATACTATAGACGATGAAGAGCTGCTGCATGATAGCTGGAAGCAAGCTAGCGGGGAAGTGTCATGCATTCAAAAGAAAAATATGAGAGAGAGTCAGAAAATTATGGATCCTAAAAAGATTTTAATTCCAATAGAAATCGTATTTGCTAATAAAGCTGAAACGTACTTTCCTTAACAGAATTATGCATGGTCATATATAGATGAATTCAAAATGTATCAGCAGTTACAATTTTTAGGACAGAAAGGGAATGTACCCAAATTAAAGTGTATGTAAGAAAAATCAGTTAAAAATTAGAAGTTTGCTTCACATATTTTTTTGGTCTTGCACACACATATAGGTGCATGCACAACCACAAATGAAATATTTTAATAAATAGTTAAATGAATTACAATACTTGTGTACATTCTTTTATTTAACATGGCATTTTTCCATGACCACTTTTCTGGTTAAGTGTGTTAAGTAAGGGATTGCCGTAATATGCATAGTAATAGAAGGTATAAACAAATTTGTAATGCAGATTCCAGGTGAGCAAGCTAGCCAGTTCCCCTTAGAAAACCCCTTCACAAAGGCAGATAGCCCTCGTGCGCTTCGCCATACAGTAAACCAAACCATTACTAAAAGTAATGTATAAGTAGCTACTTATGTAATAATTAATGTGTTTGTATTGCCTGTTGTCATTTTTAATTATGACCTCATTTGTCTATATTGACATATTTTTTTAATGTTTTAATATAAGTTTTAGTATTTATGATTTATCTGCGTACTTCTTAAATTTTAGGTTGAAGAATACAATCGTCTTAAAGAAGAGGCTGGGAAACTCTCATCTCGTTATTTGCAAGAATTAGATTCTGTAAATCGAGAACAAAAGTCAGATCAAGACCGGTGTGATAATGAAGGTCGTAAAAAAGCAGAAGTTGAATCAAAAATTAAGCAGAAGAGAGCTGAACTTGAGGAGAATGTTCGAAGGCTTGAGAAGCTTACTGAATACATAAGGTAATATTTTTCTTTAAGGAAAGAGCTTTTAAAATAGCTTTTAATAAACTGAGCTTTTAAAATTTTTTAAATGCGGTATTATTCAGAAATGTTCGTGCATTTTGTAATATTTAAAGTTTAAAAACCTAGTCTTCAATAATGGTATATAATTTATGAAAATGGCAATACTGCAATTTATTAAAAATTATTGTGCATTTTTTAGAACAAGCGAAACTGGCTTAGCTGAATTACGAGGGCAGGAAAAAGATATTGGAGAAGAAGTTCAGGAAGCAAAAAAGAGAGTTGCTGATATTAATGAGGAATTAGAATCTATATTGAATGAGCTTGGTGATGCAAAGGTAATTAATTGCATTTAAGCATCTTTATTAATGGTTTTCAATTGTGAACTTTGTACAATTTTTTATTAAAGAGAGGTTATTTCCTTATAAAAGCAGCCACTGTGCAAACCTCTGGCGACATCTGAAATTTGCATATTGCAGATAGGGAGATCTTTATTTCGGCAATTTCGATAGCAAAGTTCAGTGACTGGTTTAACAAGGAAGCACCAAAAGACTGCCTATGCTGTAATAAATCCAAAAGCATTAAACATTAATAATAACAATAATTTCCTATTTTCAGGATTTAAGGCTGAGTGCATTGAAATATTGAAATTAATGAATTTAAAAAAAATGTATTTTATTAAAGCCAGCTTTTAAATTAATTAAAATCTGTAATAATTTGTTGATTAATGTAAGTAATATTTAAGTAACTTCTGTTGCTAAATTTATGCATGACAACTGTTAATGATAATTTAATAAAGTATGTTTTCAAATTATGTAATAGGTTGATAAACATGAAGATTCAAGAAGGCGAAAAAAGGCGGAAATTGTTGACCATTTTAAGCGACTCTTTCCTGGAGTAGTAAGTTTTTTGTATATAATTTCTTACTCTGCATTTCAAAGCAGTTTTTATGCAATTTTTAATCTACTCAGTTGGCCCTTTTGTTTTTCACATATTTATGTGTGAAGTTTTTGAGCTATTTCAGCTGAAATACTATTTCATTACTTTTTTTTTTTTTTTTTAAGAATATGTAAATTTATTTAATTTTGTTTCTTTTAGTATGATCGTTTAGTGAATATGTGCCAGCCTATACATAAGCGTTACAATGTAGCAATTACCAAAGTGCTAGGCAAAAATATGGAAGCAATTGTTGTTGATACTGAACGAACTGGCAGATCATGCATTCAATATTTAAAGGAACAGATGTTAGAAGCGGAAACATTTTTACCCCTTGATTATATTGATGCAAAGCCTTTGAAAGAACGATTAAGGTAAGATTTATTCAGTGTCTTTTCATTTTACAAAATTAATCATTCTATTTACATTTTGAAGTAATCTGTCTTAAATTAGTGTTACATTTGTATATAAGATAAACAAAATATGCAGGTATTCCATGAGATACAGACACTGCCTTTATATGGGATATGTATGTAACTTGGATCTATGATGAATGTGTAAGGTTTATGTTAATCAATCAATTATTACAATTTGAACCCTTCCGTATCCTTTTCAGAATGTACATTAGTTGTTAAGTATTTAAGTTGTGGTTTTGACTGAATTAGAGTTACAACTTTTGGCAGTTCCGCTTGCAGTTATGTCTGATCGACATTCCTACCAAATTTTATGCAGGTTTTAGCCATTTTGTTAGCTGACTTGAAAAGTGTACCATTAACTACTTGAACCAGCTAAGAACACCATTTGCAGAGTCTCCAATTACATGGATTTGCTTTAAATTTGAACTTTTGTTATTTTAAATGCGTATAAGTTGCAAAATTTTGCTTTGTAGCATAAATGGTGCCATTTGTTAATTTTAAAGTCTTATAAGAAGGTTATTTTAACCATCATAAGGACTTTTGTCATTTTGACTCAGAGTATAGTGATAACTTGCTTGTCAGTCTAGTAGGGTTTGAAAGACATTGCTTTAAGCTTATACACAGTTAGAGCATATCAGTAATAAGGATGATGACTTTGATACTCTTAATGATTCATATAAGAAATTCAGTGTGTATTGTAGTAATAACATCCCTATGTTGCAGTAATAAGTCAGAGTATATTATGTAGTTTTTTAAAATTCAAACAAAATAAAAAATACAATAAATAACTAAATACAAATAAAATTTGAAAAGATTTGGATTTTAATGTCGCACCAGAGGTTTTATTAACGTTTTTTATGCTTTCATTGAACTTAACTGTCTGCTATTGCACTCGCTCCTACTGGCACAACATTTTTTGTCTTAATTTTATTATTAAATATTTTTTTGCCACATAAAATTCAAAAGCAAAATCATAAAATTTTTAAAAACAACATATTTTTAGAAATTCTGATACAATGTTAAGTGTTGTTATATATTAGCATAAAAGAACTAGCAACCTAAATTAAAATCTTAGTTTTGCATCAAATTATCAAAAATTTTTGCATTAAGTTATCGCTAACTAGCCATGCGGGACAGCCAATCAGCTGTCAAAGTAAATTACTATAAAAAGTAAATGTATGCAATGCCTTATAATCCAGGTAGTATAATATCATGAGCCCAGCTATTAATTAATAAAAGGTATAAAGAACTATATTTATTGCTTTAAAATCATTTAGTTTGTTAATCAATAGTAGGCAAATTAAATTTAAAAGAAAAATTTAATACCTTACACTTTGCCAAATGACAACAAACTATCATATGGAAGTAAAGTTGAACAAAGGGAAATGTGTGTGCATGTGAAGATTGTTAATGCTAGTAATAATATTTTAGTAGTAATAATCGGGCAAATATTATGTTCACCAAATGCAAAATGTGTACTGTATGTTATACATATTTTATTTATTTATTTACTTTTCCTTGGCTAGAAAATATTTAAGCAATTTAGTTGTAATTAAAAAAATAGAGAGTTAAATGCATTTGATCATAAGTTTCTTATTACTTTATAATGTCCTTCTTTATACCTTATTGTGTGTTTATATTGAAAATCATATTTTAGGAATATACATCAGCCAAAAAATGTGAAATTGCTGTATGATGTTTTGCAATATGATCCTCCAGCAATTAAAAGAGCTGTACTGTATGCAACTAATAATGCACTTGTGTGTGAAACTGCAGAGGATGCAAACAAAGTAGCTTATGAACTTGGTGACAATAAACGATATGATGTAAGCAAATTCAAGTTTTTATACAAGCCTGAATAGATAAAATAATGATTTTATTCATCTTTTTATCCTTTTTCCAGACATTTAATTTATCTGCTGCTTAAAAATTGCTATAGTTTGATCTGTATGTAAGAATTCATATTATACTTACTTTTAACTCCTATTTTTTGTAATATTTTTTAATATGTGTTTAAAATGAAAAAGTATAAAATATTTTTAAATATCATCTGTGGCTGTTGTTGCTCTGGAGTTGTAAACTACATTTTAAATGATTTGTAGAATTTGGCTTCTATTTATTTTAAAAATGCCATTTTTAAATATCAGTGATTTTTTAAAACTGCTAGTTACTATGGAATGTGGCTTTTATTTGTTTTGAAAATGCCATTTTTAAATATCAATCGTTTTTAAAGCTGATAGTTATTGATATAAAATTCACTAATGTAAATTTTGAAGTTGAATAAAATTTTTAAAATGCTGTGAATCCTTTTGGGGCAACTAATCTTTAACAGTTACCAGTCTTGCCGAAAGTACAATGAAATATCTGTACTGATAATTATAATATTTGTTTCCAAAAACTACCACCTAACCTAATTGAGGTTATTAATTGTATTACTTGCAATTACTGAAAATGTTTTTATTTTGGCAACCTATATGCATATATTCTGAGCGGTTTATGTGCAGTATATACTTATTTAGTATACTGTAGATGCCCAATAAGGATGATTGCAGGCTTTATTACCTTAAATTTTGACTTTAGATATATTTTCAACTACAGATTTTCTCAAAATAAGGCATAAATTGAATGAAAACAGGAAACAGTTCAGCGTTGGGAGTAGTACACTTCTGTAGGTATAAAATCTACCTTTTTTACCACAGATCAAAGACTTTAGTACTTTTCTAAATGCACAGTTTAGAGAGATTCAAGCATGAATATACTGATTTGAATCACTCTAGAGTTTTTATTGCTAAGCTATTTCAAATGAATTTTTACCCTATTTAAGGAGGAACCAAAAAAAAAAAAAAAAAAAAAAAAAAACTCATTTTTGATAATTAATAATACCCATACTCTGTAATAATAATAATAATTATAAAAAAAAAAAAAAAAAAAAAAAAAAAAAAAAAAGCTTGTTAAGAACTATGTCCTTCATGAAACTCTTGAATTAAAATATCTCAAAAAGTAAAGTTTCTTGTTTTAGTGATTACTAATCCTGTATTAGATAAAATAATGTTTGTTATGAATACTGTAGCCGAATCCATGAAATTAAAAACGCCATGAATAATGCGTAAAAGTATAAAGTTTTTATATATTTAACTCATTAAAAATTAGTGAATATTTTATAATTTGGCCTTCCCTTTTTTAAACTCTATAGAGATAAACTATAAAAAATTTTATACTCAGAGCTTTATTTTTCGTGTTGAAACTTTTTATGCTGAATGATTTTTGTATTTGGAAATATATATTTCTGATAAATATTTAAGGAAATAAAACCTCTGATCACCTTTTTTGTTTGCTTAGGGAGGGAAGGAAGAGTAAAGAATAATATTTTTTGGAAATATTTTATTTCTTTGTTAACAAAATGATTTACTTCAGATATGTGTACTAAATATTTCTTCTTTTCTGTCTAGGCTGTTGCTTTGGATGGTACATATTATCAGAAAAATGGATTTATATCTGGTGGTAGTACGTAAGTAAAGTTTTCATTTGCTTTATATTTTTAAATAAAGTCATTTGTCAATAGACGTCTGGGATAAAACGAAGCATATTTATCAGAAAATACAGTTAAAGTATGTTTAAAGTTTTAATATTTGTAAAATAGGAATTACGTGTATTAATCGTAGTTCCTTTTAAAATGGATATATCCTTTCCTCTCCCATTTTATTTTATAAAATGAAACTAGACTTCAAATTTAACAATTTTGATTATTTGACTTTAAACTTTACATCTTGAATATGATTAAAAGGTATTTAATTTAAATTTATAACTTTTCTTTCACCTTTCAAAATGAAACTTTATTTCATGCTTTAAAGAGATTATTATTTTATAGTGATCTGGCAAAAAGAGCCAGGCGATGGGATGAGAAAGCCCTGCACAATCTCAAATACAGAAAAGAGAAGCTAACTGAGGAATTGAAAGAGATGATGAAAAAGACTAGAAAAGAATCAGATCTGACTACTATTCAGTCTCAGATCAGAGGTTTGGAAACTCGATTGAAGTATTCCATTACTGACAAAGAAAATACTGTAAGTTTTTTTGTAGGAAGTAGAAAATAAGTTTTCTAGGTTATCTGAGGTAATTATTGTACTAATGTAATGCAGTAATTGTTATTAATATTTAAAGAGAAAAACTTAAAATTCAATAACAAGTTCTGCATGTTTTTATTTTATTTTGTAAGACTAAATGGTGGATCTCAGAATTTTCATGATTTAAAAAAAATTTTTACATCATTCTATTTAAATTGATTTTGCTGATTCTTCAATTATTTTTGAAGCTGTAAGCATGGTACAAGTATTCTATACTAGATGCAGCATGTGAAAACTGGGAAAAATAATCTGTGAAAAAATTAGAGTTAAAATTTTATTTTGTTATTGGGAAGGGAAAATTGGAACTTATTTCCTGTAATGATAAACTAGAGCATGAAAATAGATTTTATGGAAATTTACACATCAGGTGTGATATATAAAGTATTAGTTCTCCAAGTGATATAAGGCATACATTTGCACACAGGTAGCAAGTTTCATGTGGTAGCAAAAAGGAGGAAAAATAACTTAAGTTATAGCATAACTATTGTAGAGACATTAGGTTGTTTTGAAGCAAGAGACATGAAAAATTAGCAATGCCCTTACCGGGATTTGAACTTGGACATCTCAAATACATGCTGAGTGTCCTACCGTTACACTATGAAGACATGCTGGAAGGAAGGAGAAAATAACTTATAATACTATAAAAAATTTTCCTTCATTTTGTTCCCATTAAGCGTCATGCTCAAATTCTAAAAAAGAAGGTGTCTCCAATTTTGTAATTGATTGTCATTCATATATGATAAAACTGTAATAAGACTCTAGGAAAATAAAGCAACAGGAGTCAATTCTTCTTAGTAATTAATAAATCCATCTGTGCAGTGATTACAGCATCCGTTCTCATAGTTAGTTGTCCCTAAATCTTTGGACTGTGTCAAGTAGTTATTTTATGCTTGAGTAGAGTACCTGACTCCACCAATCTTCATTAATCTAGAAATTCATCTCTGTTTAAATTGTAACTAATTTTTCAGTTCTTGCCTAAAATCCTTCATTTCACTGAAGCAGATAGTCCATTTTGGGATGTCTAATTTTCCACTCTAGTTAGACTTGAAAATGGGCCAAGTACTATTGTTGTGATGGAAGGAACATGGCCAAAGAATTGTGGCAATCTGGAGAAACCAAGTTATTCCTAATATCTCTGCATGCAAAATGTATATTGTCGTTTATTACAACCAGCGGGTTCATGCCGTGCCATCTGAAACTGTTCCATAAATGCCATCACTTGCATGCTTTTTGTGATGTATGTATATACTGTTGGTAGAGATATTCTTTGGTAATTATCAAATCTATGTGTTTCAATTCAGTGTGAAACTAATAAAGCAAAATTCATTATTTCGTAGTATTAAATGGGTCATTGTATGAAGTCTCTTGTTCATATCTGCAAGATGGTTCGCTCATAGCCCAAGATAGCACAAGAAAACTCCTGCATAACAATCTTGTCTCATTGACATAAAATATTTATTCCATAGTCAGATTTTTTTTTTTTTTACCATAATTTTTTTAAATTTTTCTGCAAATTCACTCGTGGGCACTTGATTGAAATGTGTGTGCTTATCAGGTACCTCTTACTCATGGACTGACTGCCTTTTAAATGAATTGATTGAACCATCTAATGTAAAATCTACAGTTGCTTTGCACTTTTGTTTGCCCATCTAGAACTATAATGATGTGTCATCCATAAAATGGATTTTTTTTTCCTTATCCTCTTCACATCTTTTTCTGGCTGTCTATTTTCTAGACTGCAGTTTCTTAAGATTTTCTGTTGTGAGATATATTTCTCATCCTTCAGTACAAGAGGCCCACAAGCAGCCAAGCGGTAAAGTTCCTGAAGACTGGTAGGTTGGTTCAAGGTTTGAATCTCATGAACAGGCTGGTTGCATGGGCGTTTTTATGTTTTCTCCGTGTCTAATGTGTATATGAGCCAGTTTTCCTTCGAAAGTCCTCCACAAAGGCATCCCTCCAGCAGATAGCTTTTGAGTGCTTTGTCGTAATCAAATACACCACGCTTCAGTATGAGATGCAGTGTTTCTTCTGTGTGTTGATTGGAAAGCATACATTTGATTGATGGATATGCCAGACTTCAAGAATTTGTTGTTTCCATGTTAAGATGTTATTTTAGCCATTTCTCTAGCAAATGGTCTGAGTCTTCTGTAGTTAATAACTGAATGAAGCAATTATGTAAAGTATAATATAATGATATTTATCTATTACTGCAACCATCTTAATAAAATTTGCCAGATTTTCAGACTGTGCCAAACTCTGCCAACCAAGTGTATAAACATTTTTCAAACAACCATACACATAAGTCCTTTAGTTAAGCAATGTCACCATTTTCATATGTTTTTTGTCCTATTCCAAATTCCAACAGTTTTTATATGCAAATTGTGCTATTTCTTGCTTTCAAGTCGAATCAGTCAGCAAGGGAAGAAACTGCAGTAAAAGTTCCATGGGAATACAGTATTTTGTTGCAAAATCACAAAAGAGAACAATGATGAAATGCATTTGGTAGATAACTGGTACACAATGCCAAGTTTCTGCTGTGATTTTTTTTAACAATAGCATTATGACACTTTCAGTATACCTATAACTACGATCAGCGATCATTTTGAGCTAATGCTTATAAAGATAAATTTTGTTTGTTTAATAAGTAAATAAATTGAGTAAATATATGTAACCAAAAGATGATTTAATGTAACAGAGCAAAATAAAGTATGTAAATATATTAATTGAAGGATAATTTAACATAACAAAGAGCTAAGGAAAAAATATTTGCTCTAGATATTTTTAAACTTGTTATCATTTAATAAATTGCTCCATAAAAATTTTCAGTCTGAAATAAATATAGTAAAAATTACACATACTTACATTTCTTGGTTTTGCAGTACATACATATTACTAATTTTTTAATTTTACCTGTACAGGTTCCACAAGCGTATTTTTTACAGTATTCATAAGTATTCAAAGTTTTATTGCCTCTGTGTGCATTTATTTGACGTTGTTTATGCTTATGGGAAGGGTTGCCGCAAGTATCAATTCTCGTTTCGTTAGATACAGAAAGTTGTGAATTTTGAATTAAATGTATATCTCTTGAAGCTCCTCAGCCATATTCAGGATAAAATCACGGCGGCTGATGTTCTTGTATTCAGTTGTTTCTTTGTAAACTATCCTTGCATTTATTGTGGCCAAATCAAGAATATTTATTAAAAAAAAAAAAAAATTGAACTAGCCAGTGTCTGAATGAAGACTTCACTGAGTATTTTCTGACCATCTGGCTCCAAGCATCAACTTTGTATTTGGTCGAATCGTAAAAATTCAAACTGCCGGTGTCTTTTTTCATCAGATAGGAACTGCAATGTTGGGCGCGTGGTATTCAGAAGCAGGATGTTCTTGTTTCCCCCCCCCTTCTTGATAAGATGTAAGCATTATATTGTCATGCTTAGCAATCTTATTAAAATAGAGCTCATCCCTGATATTTTTGAAAGAATAAGGTACTTTTCTTTTTGAATGATTTATTGTGCCAATGCAGCCTATCCCTGTACTCCTCATTTCTCTTACTAATTTCAGCGAAGTAAAAAATGTCAGTTGTTAGGTTTCTTCCACTATAGTATAGGTGTTGTAGTACTTCCGGTATTGTAGTAAGGTTTCATCAAGCGAAAAGCTGCATGTTCACCTATTGTTTCTCCACCTGGTCTTGTTTTATCCTTTCCCAAGTATGGAAACCTGTTCAGTAAATATTTTGACTGCATATCAGTAGCAAGTCAGAATTTAATGCTGAATTTGTCTGTTTTCTTAGGCATATATTGAATAAATCAACATTGGGTTTTTATGGGAAATAATTGTTTATCCACTATTATAGTTTCACCTGGTTTATGACATTTCAAGCAGTTTCTGTAAGAGCATTCCAGATATCTGAAACAGGAGTAAATGGATTACTTTGCAGTCCGTGAGATCTAGTTGATTTCTTGTCATAGCACAAACATTTCATAATTTCCAAAAATCTGTCCCTAACCATTGTCTCGGTGAAAAATGCCCGGCCCCAAGGTTTTGACCATAAACTCAAAATAGAAAGATCTTTTTGCAGCTCCACGAACATACAACAGTGAAATGAAAGCGTCTAATTCATCGAGTGGCAAACTCCGGTTTAGATTTTCGGATTTCTTACATTCCTCTTCTTCAGTGCACTCCTGAATGTGATGCAATATTTTTTGTTGTTAAACAATCTTCACCCCTGTAGCATTTGTTGAAATATTTCCTATTTTCTAAACTGGACCATCATTTGCTTTTTTTTCATCGTTTTAAATTTCCTTACTTTGGATACATCTTCCTCATTCCTGAGTTCTGTTTTGTTGCCTTTAACTACTTTCTTGAGCTTAAGTGCTGCCATTGATTTCACTTCTGAAAACTATACTAGTAGAAGGGAATGTAATATTTTGATCTAAATTTTTAGCTTTCTTTTCTGTTTTGTGAAGAGATTATCCATCAGATGAATCGGATTTACTTGTTTCAGTAGCAACGATCCAGTCCTAATCGGATAAAATGGATTTAGTTTCAATATGAAATTCTTCATCAGGTTCAGTTTCTGAAGCAGAATCGTCATCGGAAAAACTTTCAAAAACTTTCATCATCTCTTCCTTTGTTAGGTATTTTCTACCAGCACTCATACGCAACATGACAAAAAGGTCAGAACAATAGAACTATCTAAATGAAGTAAAGTACATTTGTGTCTACTGAAAAATAACCTTTCTTGAAACAAGGGAAGAGCACAGACACATGGCGTTCCAAGCAGGGTTTTTAATCCCTCCCCCTCCTCCCATTCTCACTCACTTCTGTGATATGCAGTCTTGCCAAAAATGCACCTGTTTATCTATCAGGAAACCTGAAATAGCCAAGAAAAGTCATAAAAATAATGAGAAATGTATAATTTTTTGGATATGATCAAAATGACCTATAGCTGTAATTGTAGGTATAAACCATAATATTGGTGAAAGTAATTATTTAAAATGGACCAAAAAGTATGTAATATTCCTAAGCTTTTAGAAAAAGTCCAAAAATATCAGAGTTGTAAATAGAGAATTAAATATATATATATATATGTCCAATTAAAATGAAGATAGGTCAGAATGACCAATGATGTAATTCTAGTGTTAAAGTGAAAACAGATCAATCACTATGTATGTAAGGAGAAGCACAGTGTTAAAAAATTAGTGAAGGATTTCCTGAAAAATGTTTAATTTTTTTAATTGTATTTTAAAATTTTTAAGGTGCTTTTTCTTTTGATATGTTAATAATGTTAGCCAACTTATGGTAAATATTGACAGTTTAAAAATATCTTCCAAACAATTCGCACCTCTACCCCAATGAGAAATAATATTAGAACTATTCAAAATCCAAAGATATTCTAAATCCTGACCTACACTGTATAATAGCAAAGGCAGAAACATATTTATGTGTATTAGAATGAAATGAAAATAAAAAGAGACTGAATAGACATAAGCACAAAATTCATTAATTTGTTATTAATTTGATAAAGGAATATGCAGTGAATGCTCTCACTGTGTCAAAACAGTGCTACTTAGAATAGCTCTCCTTTAATTTATGTGACATAAAAATAATAGAACTTTCTGACCAACTTAGTGTTGCCAGTTGTCTAGTTTAATCATTACTTAAAAAAAAAAAAAAAAATATGCTGAGAAATTATCCAACAATTTCTATTATAATGAATGCTTTTGTATAATTGATTATAAAACTTAACCTGCAAAGCACTTGAAAAAAAAATAAATAAATAAATATAATTGAGTTATATTAACCAGCATGTGTATTGTTTGATTGTCCTGTTTTATTGTAGTTCTTCAGATAATATAAAATTTAGAGTCAATATTTTATAATGGAATTTAAAAGAAAAATACTTTAAAGCTACATTGAAATCTTTGTCATCACCTGTGTATTGTGTAGTGAACACCTCTTTTTTTCCCCCTTTTTTAATACATAGTGATTCAGTCAATACATATTCAATGTAGATTTTGTCAGCATGTTTAAAGATGTTCTTAAAAATGTTTATGTTTATGTTTTCAATAGGAAAAGAGGGTTATTGCTGGATTGGAGAGAGAGATAGCTGCTTTAGAGAGAGAGTTGGACACATTTGAAGTAATTTATTCTTTTAAAAATCTTATGTATGATAATAAATGGTATGATTATTAAGTGTGATAATAAATTATACGTAATACAGTCCGAAATCCAGAACTCCAATTTCTGGATAACACGTTTTTTATTTATTTAATTTTTATTTTTTTAGAAATTTTTTTGCAAAAAAGGAGAAAGAATTAGATTCCAAGAATAGCATATGCTTAATTCTTCATGCATGCACAGTAGACATTTTTTCATAATAAAGCATATGGATCTTTATTCTTGTTTTCACTTCACAAATAAAGACCTTTATGTTTTAAGAAACACAGTCATTTCCTATCATAAATTTGTATGATAAATAATTTGGCTCTGAAACTGCCTTAGTGCCTCACATACATCTCAAATCAAAACATTCTGTCGCTGGTTTTATGTCTACTGAATATCATATAACACAGACTCGAACCAACTGTGCTTCGAAGTGTTAAGTTTTTCAAACAGGAGAAATTTAAATGAAATTTGTAAAAATAGATTTTGTAAATCATATTTTTAGGTCATTTAATGCTGTTTAAATTTAGAATGAGTAATTTGTTGTTCTGCGTATTACTTATATGTGGGAATTTTTTTCAGAGACTCAGGTAAGCTTTAAGCATATGCGAGAAATAACCTATATCTATGGAAATTATTTGTTATCATAAATAGCAACGCTAATATAATTCACACTTAACTTCCTCAGCACGTAATAGGAGTAAGATAAATTTTAGTAGAACCACATGCCTCTAGTTGCCAATCGGATGATACATTGCCAGTAGCGTATAGTGGACATTCGCTGAGCCTTATGATGGCGGCCGCGAATTTAAAGGGTTTTGGATATCGCACAAACAAAGAGCAAAATTTCCCAATTAATAATGGAATTTGGGAAGAAATGTAGATGAAATTATAGAAGTATTCCTTTGCTGTTACAATGCCCCCAATAATCAATCAACTAATGAATGGCAAAATCTTGCAATATGGATGCATATCTAGAACATATTGCTACCAATGGTAAAGAAAGTGACAAAGAATTTGCTGAAATTGGAAAAGTCTCAATTGACAATTTAGAGGCAATTCTTGATATGGTAATTACAGGAGTTTTGTAACTGAACAATAAATTATGTCTGTCTATAAAATTAGAAGGAGAAATATTAGCACAGAATTGAAGCAACTTAAGCAAATTGAAAAAAACAATAATAAAGCAAACAAATGAATATTAAGCTTTTTTTTATATATTTTGATTACCTTAAGGTAATAAATGCTTCATCATTTCGTAAACAATTATTTCAGATTTTTAATTTTGTAAGTTCTACATGCCATCTTACTAAATTTAAACTAAGATCTAAAATCTGAAATTACCAAATTCCTGGTGAGTCTGGATGTCGGACTTGGTATTACATAATGATATCCTCATCATATTGTGTTGAATAACTATTTACTTTGGAAGCATGCTTTTACACATCTGAAGTGTGTTGAATGGTTTGCTTAGAATAAATGCTGAGTTTTGTTTTTCCTCCTTATATTTTTTTAACGTTGTTTTTCTAGAATACTAATTATTTGCATTAAATCGGTTGTAGCCTAAAATATCTGATCTTGAGGAAAGAATGAAAGATCGAGAAAGCAGGATTCAAGATGTTAAAGAGTCTATGAATACCGTTGAGGATAGAGTTTTTGCTGATTTTTGTCGATCTATAGGAGTTGAAAATATCAGGTTAGTTAAACTTCTATATATCATTGTTTTGTTAATTACTTTGAATCTTTGTAAGTTTGTACAGTTTTAAATCTTTAGCCTAAAAAATATCTTTTGTTATTATAGGTTGTAAAGTTTTTATGTTAAATTTTAAAATTTTTAATTAACTATAACAAAAAGAATTTTTGGGAAAATGATTGCAAAAATTTTGCTTCTTAATTTTTAAAAGAATAAAACTGTAACTTAACTAATATTAGAATTTTTTAATAATATTTTATTGTTATAAAAATGTATGATTATTTTCTAGTTATTTATATTCATTCTTTAGTTAGTGAGATACTAACAGATATGTACAGGCATTAAGAAAAAGTCTGTTCTGAATCCAGTTTGCAATCCTTTTTTGGTAAAAACACTCCTTTATTCTGTACACATACTTATACTAGATGCCACGCAAAAACATCATTCAGCTGGCTTCGAGAGGCGTTGAAATAGATATTTTTCTTGAAATAAAATACCCAAAATTTTTCATTATTAGAATACTTTACTTCATACAAGGAAATAAAAATGATTTTTCCCTCCAAACAAGTAACAAAAAAAATTTTGGGGCTAATAATTGCAAAAATTTTGCTTTTTAACTCTCCAAGCAGCTAGCCTCTAAGTGCTAGAATATTTTTTGTGATATCTATAAGAACGTATATATATATGTGCATATTAAAATATGGCAAAGAAATTAAGGCAATATATCAAAAGTATACAAACCAAGTATGAAATACCAGGAGAGTTTTTACATTAAAATAAAAAAAAATCATTTGTTCTCATAGTAGTTTTGGGAAATTTGTGCTTTCTTAGCGAAAAATATCTGGCTACTCAGAGAGTTAATTTTTAAAAGAAATAAAAATGTAACTTAACGAATATTAGAATGTTTCATTAATATTTTATTGTTATTACAATGTATAATTATTTTCTAGTTATTTGAGTTTTTACATTAAAATAAAAAAAAATCATTTGTTCTCATAGTAGTTTTGGGAAATTTTTGCTTTCTTAGTGAAAAATATCTGGCCACTTAGAGGGTTAATTTTTAAAAGAAATAAAAATGTAACTTAACGAATATTAGAATTTTTCATTAATATTTTATTGTTATTTCAATGTATGATTATTTTCTAGTTATTTATATTGCATGCTTTTTTTCCCTCAGATACAATTAAAAACTTTAAATATGGTTAAGTATATAGTAAAAATTTGAAGTGGACACCACATGATTTCTTTGTAAGGCCTATTAAATTATACACATTTTTTGCTGCATTTCATTTAAACTTTTTTCCTCGAATTTCATTAGAGATATATTTCTTATTCAAATAATTCAGTTCTCTCTTGGCACCAAAGCAAAAATAAATAAAAACTCAAAATATCTTGGTTAAAAAATTTTAAATTACAGAAACACATAAAACACGAGATACACTTAAAACAGTTAGAAAAAAAATTTTTTTTTTTACAATTAAAATTAGAGTTTCTATATAAAAACAAGCAATTCGGCCAGCGTGCAAAAAGGCAGATTTTTTGGTTCACAAAACTGAAAGTTTGCATTTGATTCCACTCTACGAAAAGACATGGAAGGTGCATTAACTGAATTCACTATTCTGCTGAGTTTCATGTATAATTAAATGGCAATTCATTAGGTGTAACATACCATTTAAAGTTTTAAATTGTTGATAATTGTACAACAGTTTCATGCAGATTAATCTATTTCATACATTTCAGGCATAAAAATCTTAACAGCAACATAAAAACTATGTAATTCAAACATTTTTAAAGCAAAAAATGCACATTTACCAACATATAAGAATAAAAAAAACAAGCTCACATAAACTAATATCATGTAGCAGAGTGGGAATTTATATATATATATTTATATAGGATTGGCCCAGCCGGTTGCAACAAGAAAGGAAGGTGCACATCTACATGTTATAGCAGTCCCATATACAAAATTTCTACAGTCTACGGCTACTCATTCTTGAGTTATGTGAGATACTAATGCACATATGTACAGACATTAAGAAAAAAAAATCTGTTCTCAATCCATTTTTAAATCCAGTTTACTGTCCTTTTTGGTGAAAGCAATCCTTTAGTCTGTCCGTATATATATACAGATGTTATGAAAAAACATTGTTTAGATGGCTTCAAGAGGAGTTGAAATGGATATTTTTGTTGAAATATAATACCTGAAATTTTTTCTCGATTACAATACGTCCTTTACTTCATGTAAGGAAGTAAAGATCGTTTTTTTCCCCCTTTCCGCCCCAAAACCCTTATATCAAATAGACAGAAAAATATTTTTTAAAGAGCTGAACATTTTTAGCCAGATTTCTAACCGTCAAACTTATTAAAATTTTTATTCATTACTTTATACATAGCTATAGTTTTGCATTTTAGGAAGTAATGGTTTTGATGAAAAAAACTTATTTTTATGTAATTAGATTAATTTTTGAATATGTGACATGCAAACATATGATTTCCCATTATGAATCGAAACTGAAAGTACTGACCTGTATTTGACAGTGCCATCACTGTCTCCTGCTTTGCTGGAAAACCCTGTCCATCTTGTACATACAACCTAATTAATAGTTAAATTCAAATAATCTACATTTGTTTTTTGATGTAAATAAATAAATAATTATATTTTTAGAAAATTCAGCGCTACAAATTTAATGGCAGTTTTTCTTATATGTTTAGTTTATGGGGCTGACATGCATAAAAATTTGTTTTTTAAAACTTTTCAGATGTTGAATTCATATTTAAATGCACTACTAGGCCTTGTCACAATATGTTTGTTCATGTGCTCTGCAATGAGTAAGCTTGCTTGCATGGAAAATATGCCAAAGAAAAGGGGGCTAAATTTTCTTTTAATAAATCCGAATTTCAAGTGTAACGTTAACTGTTCGTAGCATTATTAAACCAGACCAGAATGATAAAATTAGTGTAGAGATTCAATTCAAAGAAAAGTTTGTTAAACATTCTTTTATTTTCTCTCATGAATGTAAATGAAAAAATTATTTTGAAAGTAATGTAATGATGGTTATGCAGTTAATGAACATAAAATTCTTTACTTCCTCAAAAAAATTTCACAGTCATTTTTTCGTTTCTTTTTGCTTTGTTTTCCCTTTATATTGACATTTTATTTACAGAAAATTGTGTAACAGTTTTCTGTTCAGTAAATTTTGATTACATAGTTCTTACGATCTAAGTGTATTTTGGCTAGGTAATTTATGTGCAAATAATTCAAATTCAATGTAAAAACTAGGGAGAGAAAAGTATAAACAAAACTCTGAAATACATACTTATGTGTAAATTCTCCACTTTACTTAGCTCTAGTCGTAAGGTATGTGGAACATCCGATTTTTGTTGTATTTAAAATGGTATTTTAGGTAATTTATCATTTATCTCTTAACTTTTAAATTAGGTGAAATCATATTTATTAAATTTTACACAAGGTTAGGTGTGAATATTTTATTATATATGTATAGGTATATATATACAGTGGTGGCCAAAATTGTGGACACTTTTGGAAATTTGTATGCTTACGTTTCGCAAAATGCAAACTTGTATATATCATTTTAAAGAGAATTTATTACTGAATTCAATACAAAACACAAAATTCAATTATTTGCAATACAAAAAAGTTATATGTACTTTAATATAAATAAAAAACACAGTTATGAATTGGTTTGTAATGTCTAGCTTTCCTGGCCAATCACTGTTCTTCTTCTGAGAAACAATCAAATGTTAGTAACTGCCAGTAGAAGCTGACATCATGTTTACACTTGAAACAATTCAATATTTTGCTTTGTTCTGTAGAAGGAGGACCTGTTTCTTATACATTGCAATGACAAGTAGGAATTTTTGTAAAAATTTTTAATATTTAGTCAAGAAGCAATGAGATCAAATAAAAGAGTAGATTGGACACCTAGAAAGAGATGTAATATTATTGTGTTACGAGAAAGTGGTCTTTCCTATGCTGAAATTGCAAGACAGGTGGGTGGTTCAGTGACTACATCTGGAGTCCGAAAGTCTTGTTTACGATATCAGGAGACAAACTCAATAAAAAACAAAGAAGGAAAAGGCCGAAAAAAGTGCACCACATCTTTGATGACAGAGGAATAAAAAGACTATGTCTCCAAAATAGAAACATGTCATCAGTGGCCATCAGAAATTATCTGAATGATGCAGGTGTTTCTGTCAGTTCAAGAACAATCTGGAGAAGATTAACAGATGTTGGACTCAGAGGTAGAATTCCACGAAAAAAGCCTTATGTTAATTTTCAGCAACGAAAAAAAAAAAAGACTACAGTGGGCAAAGGAACACATTAATTGGACAGATGATCAGTGGTCACAAGTTATATGGAGTGATGAAACTAAGATATCGTTATTCGGTAGTGATGGGCGAAAATATGTAAGACGTAGAGTAGGAGAAGAGCTACATCCTGACTGCATTCAAGCAACTGTGAAGAACCCAGGTAGTGTTATGATTTGGTCATGCATGTCAGCAGATGGTATTGGTCGCCTTCATGTCATCGATGGGACACTGGATGCCAGAAAATACATTGACACTATTCTAGAACCAAAACTTCTACCTTCCATCAGAGATCTCTTTCCCAACAATGCTTCGTTTATTTTTCAGCAGGATTCTGCTCCTTGCCACACAGCCAAAATATCGAAAGAGTGGTTTCGTACAAAGAGCATTAAGTTGTTGTCATGGCCAGGAAACAGTCCTGACCTCAATCCTATCGAAAATTTGTGGCACCGTTTGAAAACTCTTGTCTGAATGAGACGCCCATCAAATAAAAGGGAACTAATTGAGGCTATAATTGTTTCCTTGCTTCATGTAATAACGAAAGAAGAGCTTAAAACTCTTGTCAGCTCAATGAAACGTCGATGTGAAGCTGTAATCAAAAATAAATTGTACCCTCCCTACTAAGTACTGATAACTCACTGCAATCATCACTATCTAATGTATATCGATAACTATTATCGTTTAACTTTTTTTTTTATTGCAAATAATTGAATTTTGTGTTTTGTATTGAATTCAGTAATAAATTCTCTTTAAAATGATATATACAAGTTTGCATTCTGTGAAACGTAACGTTTTCTATAAGCATACAAAGTTCAAAAACATAAAAATTTCCAAAAGTGTCCACAATTTTGGCCACCACTGTACACACACACACACACACCGCTGTAACTGCCAAGACAAATGTTCTTAACTGGAGAAACTGCAGCGTATGGTAAGATTTAATTGGTGGAAGACAATACGAAAACATGTATATATGTCTTACTAGATGCATCTTTTGACTTTTTGAAACATCTCTAAAGATGCAATATTATTTTACGTGTGAGATTGTGTAATATTTGGGCTGATAAAGTTTGTCGCACCAATGTTCAGAAAGTTTGTAGAAAAAAAATTGTAAGGTAAATGCTGTTTAAAATATTTTTTAAAAAAGTTATTACTTAGTCCTTTTTGGAATAACATCCATTAGCATATATTTGCAGTAGAAGACCAAAAGTCTGCTGAGTATGTGTTCATTTTAGAGTTTTGTAAATTTCATATCATAAACTAAAAATTTAAAAAAAAAAAAAAAAAAAAAAAAAAAAAAAAAAAAAAAAAAAACAGAGAGAGAATTAATGAGAATAGATCATAAGCGTATAATAAAAAAATATTTTGAACATTTATTTACGATAGTTTATTTTAAAATTTCTGGGTTTTCTAGTTTAGGCTCCCCTTTTAAATTTTGCATTCTTATTGTTCTAAATGTGTTGTCATGCTATTACTCGCAGGAAAATTGCCATAGTGATGAGATGAGGAAGATGCTACTTTTCTTTTTCCCTTTTGTTTTGCAATTAAAGTTACAAATTCCTATAGTTTTCCATTTATCGGGTAACAGCCATCACCAAATATAAATTTTAGTGCAATAGCTTGAAACAGTAATTGTAATCCTAAACATATTTTCAAGATGCATTACTGTTAAAAAATTGGAAATTGGTATGAAATTGGAAAAAATGTTTTGTAGAATTTTGTGAAGTAAGTAATTTAATCAGATCAGTTTTGGGGATTTGCAGTGTTCTTGTATTACCATGATCATTGGATGTCATGTTATTTCAGAGTTGTAGCCCTCTACTATCTTATAATTATCTGCATAATTTTCTTTCACTATGGACAGTTGTTTCATAAAAAAAATTACTTGCAGATTCTATCATTCTGCTCTTGTCAGGGCATAAATTCTATCTTGGGTCTTTTATTAAAATCTCTCACAAAAAATGTGTCTTGATTAAAGCATGAACAGTCACTTTTTTTTTTTTTTTTTTTTTTTTTTTTTTTTTTATGTGGTGTGTGATGAAGTAAGTTCAGCCCATGGGAAATAGACCTCGGGGCAGACCCCAGCTAAGATGGATTGATTGTTTTGAAAAAGATCTATTTTAAAGGTTAAAAACAAGAAAACAGTTTCCAAAAGTAGAGATGCCTGGAGAAGGCCAGGGCCCACATAGGGCTGTCGAGTCATTGAAGAAGAAGTTTCACAAAATATTTATTTGGCAGCAATTTTAAGGGTTAAATCAATGGAATTAATATGATAGTCTACTTCAGCTGCGAGAGAGGAAATATATTGCAGATATTATCCAAATATTGCCAAAAATTCTAAAAGACACTTGCATTTCTCACTTGATATAGAGGTTATGTAGATCAGTTTTCTACTGTATTTTGTCCAACCCTCTTGCCATTCCTGAAAATATTGGGTGTTTTGATATTTGTCATAAAATGGCCATCCTGTATTTTAGGTATTTTTAATTATCATAAAACATTGATCCAGTGAAACTATATTGATAAAAGAGAAGAATGTGTCAGAGATCAAGAAATAAAACATATGTGATGTTTGTGGGATGATAAGAATTTGTTTTTGGTCAAAGAAACCCAAGCTCAAATATTGTTTATTGCTCGTTATTGCTCGAAAGAGGACATTATGCTGAAAAAATTAAAGGTATGCTAAGGCTGCTATCACACATCCGTTTGTTTCGGAAGAACAACTGTTTGGAAACATTTTCTGCTTTGTCACAACAGCCAGTTATCACACATAGCTTTGGGATTAACACAGGGTAAACTGGTTCTCCATTACAAACAAGATGATAGCATTCGAAGCTCGCAGCTGATTGGTTGAAAACGAACAACTTGCAATTTATTTTTAAAGGAAAAAATAAAATTGCATGTATTTCTTTCAATAGTAAACCAGGCAGAAAAATTGTCCGAAACAATTGTTTGTCTGAAACAAATGTGTGTGTGGTTTGGGCCTAACTGTGCTATAACATGAACTAACTATACATTCTAGATGATTTCACTTCACTCATTTCTCCTTTTGCAAGTTTCACACGTGTTACATGACTTTTTCATGAATCTTTGGAATAGAGCAATAATTCTGCCTACTCATCAACAGCATAATTTTTTTAAAAAATCGTTTTTCACAAAAGTAGCCCTTTGCAAGTGCAAATTAATGCGTAATTTATTTTAGTGTTCTTGACAGTTGAATAATTAAATGATGCTTAAAATATGCTCATTGGTCTCATTTATTACAGATGAACTTCCTGTCCCGAAATGTGATATATTTCTACTATTCTAATAAAATGGTACATATGTATTACAAAAGAAATGTTATTTGTTGGCAGCAGTTGTGTTATACGTCAAACAAAATATTTAATAAATGTTTCCTTTCATCTGAAATATGATTTATTCTTGTAGGCAGTACGAGGAAAGAGAGCTGAGAGCAACTCAAGAAAGAGACAAAAGACGGCTAGAGTTTGAAAATCAAAAGAATAGAATTATTAATAGATTGGAGTATGAAAGATCTAAAGACACACATGGCAAGTTTAATTCTGAATGTCTTATCTATATCATATATGAAGTTAACACTTGAAAATTTAATATATGTAACTTGTAAATTAATAAATTGATTTTTATGTAGAAAATGTTAAAAAATGGACAAAAACTGTGGAAGACGATGAAAAAGAGCTTGAAAAATTGAAAAAGGCTGAAACCACACAGATGCAGGTTTTTATGTTTATTTATCACTTTATAACATTACAAGATATATTTTAATATTGAAATTCATATTTGTACAAAATTCTTAGCTGTATAATATTTTGAGGTTTTAAAGACACATTCTCCTGTTTGACATGGCATTTTAAATTTGGTACATAAGTAACTCGTAGACTACAACTGTTGCAGATTGTCAGTAGTTTCTCTGAAAAAATTTTAAAACCTTATGAGCTTTCTGCTTCTTCTTCAGGTTGAGTATGTTACGTATTGGGCACCTCTGCTGAGTAGCATTTTGTGCCAAACGCATCAAACCCAATGCTTCCATGCTCCATTTGTTTGTGTCACCCACTTTGGTCCATTTGTTTGGGTCGCCACTCTTTATAAAGTCTAACAGCCCCTTAATAGAGCTCAGGTGTCTCTATTAAGGGAGAAGTCTGTAGGAACTTTAGGTATTCTCTATGCTAAAGAGTATGGAGAATACCTAAAGTAGTCAAAGTTATCAAAAGTTCAAGGTCAGGATAAACATTTTTCAGGATGTCTCTCAATGAGTAGAGCTATCCTTGTCTACCATAGGAGCCTCCCTGAAAGTATAACCTTCATGTATGTCTCTTTTAGCAGTCTTCAGGGCTGAACTATGAGCTATGGAAAGTACTGAAAAACCTATGAGTTTTATTGAAAGGGGGGAAATGATATGCAAAACGGAGCCAACTTATTCCTCCAATAATTGGTGAAATCCTTGTTATGTTAATTTGTTAGTCTTGTGGATTTTCAAGAGTAACCAATCGCAGTTCAGAAAATTCCGATCCAGTTCAAGCACCCTGCTTTGAAGGGTTACTCTGCAGGTCTGGCTCTGTTATATTATGGTGAGAAAATGTAGCGCACGCTTCTTGCAAATTTCGATTAAACTGGAAGATTTTTAAGTTCGTGAAATATGACACCACAGAATGGGATGCTAAAATTAACAAGCCAGAAATTTAAACTCGTATTCTACAGAATTTCCATGCATTAAAACATCTAAAACTAAACTCAGTGGCGCAGCAGCCTTAGTGGGCCAAGGACTGCAGTGCCCGAAATCTGCTTTCTTGACGAGCATATGCCCTGAACAAGTGGTTAACTCAGGTCTCAGGACTTCCAGTGTTTAGTCCCCAAGCGAACTTGGTACTCGTTTTATCGATCCACTCAAGGGACGAAAGGCTAAGTCAACCTTGCCCAGCCCGGGAATCGAACCCTGGACCTGTGGTGCTGCTGCATGATGCTCTAGCCGCTGTGCCACCGGACTTCTAAAGCATCTAAACGTTATGTAAATTATGCACTTTATACTAGCAACAAAGACTTTTTAATTTCGCATAGTGTAAAAGGCATGCATTTTCTCAAAGACATAAAGAAATTAGTGCTATAAAATAGAAAGAAATACAAAATTGTTTTCATAAAAGATGAAGTGGATGTTATTTAATTTGATTTTTAATTGAACACAACTTCCCAATTTCAGTTTTGAACCATTCAAAGTAACTTATAAAGACAATGTTTCAGATATTGCCATAGCAAAAAAAAAGTATATTTCATTTAAATGCAACCCGGTGAAAGAGTTTTTCTATTTAAAAAAAGAAAAAAGTGGGGGAGGAAAAAACCTCATTGAAAAAGTTCTAATTAAGAACTTAAGCTTGCAGAGCATGCTGCTTAGAAATCTTTACATTTATAATTTATAAATGAATTATAATTCTTTTTGTTAATGTTAACATATATATTTCTTGCACTTCTTCTGGAATTTAATTTTTTTTAATTATTATTTTCCTGTAGAAACCGAATCAGAAAACCTCAAAGATATATGATTTATAGACTCTAATTTACCCTATGATTATTTATGATTTAAAATTATTTGTTCCAATACTATATATTAGTAGATTTAGTACTACTTCTGCTTAAATAATAAAATGAAAATTTCTAAAGGATGCCTATAATTTACAAAAAAAGTATTTTTAATTATTTAATTTTTTATGTTTATGTATTTTACGTTACAGCTGACTACTAATTAATGAACCAATTTTAAAAAATCTGCTTTGGTTGCACATCTTCAAAGTTTTAAAAATATTGTTCTTTGTTGCAAGTTGTAGTATGTGATAACTTTAAGATTTGTATGCTGTATAGTTCTGTTTGCTGTACTCTTAATTGAGCAACTTAAATATACAGGGTGTTTCATATCGAATTGGACAAAATGAAACTATAGCTGTGAATGCTGTAATTATTATATTTTGATAAATCAAATTTACAGTGAAACTATAGTTATCCAAGTTTCTGTGGATGTTCTATATGTGTCCCTCCGGTGACACTGCAAATATCTATGTAGTATTGCAGTTCCTGACACACTTGTGATAGAATATCCTTTGTTAATAATTTGAGCATTTCAGTTATCTTCTGCTGCAGTTGCTATAAGTGCTGAGGAATTGGAGGCACAAGTATTTTGTCTTTAAGAAAATCACAAGGGGGTTAGATCTGGGAATCTCAGTGGCCAAGAAAGCAATGGCAAAGAAAGCAATGGTTTGAGCCAGCACAGCCAGTCCAGCGATGGGTAGATCGCTGGATTGGCCGTGCTGGTGTATGTTGGTGGTGCACTATGCTGTGGTACTGTTGGCTACTTAGGTATACTATACCATGCTGGTGTATCCTTTAAGTACTAGTGTATGTTTTTATGCCTGTGGAGTGCCATCTTGCTTCAGAATGAAGCCAGAAAATCAGGGTTGCCACGCTACCTGGAAAACCGGGAGAACCGGGAAAAGTCAGGGAATTCAAAAATTGACCAAAATATTCAGGGAAAAGTCAGGGAATTTAAGTATTTTTGTCAAAATCTGGAAAAGTCAGGGAAGTTCATACAACGATCCCGCCAAAAAAAAAAAAGCGATTTTTGCGCCGACGTCGGAAGAGAACTTTTTTGGCGAATTATGTATCACCTGAGTGTCATTCGGGTAGCTGGCATAGAGCCAATTTTCGCAGCTCCAATTTGATTGTCTTTTAGAAAGGCAAAGCAACTTTCCCAGTTAGAATCAAAGAATATGTATTGTAAAGAAGGAAAACCTCTCTGCAACAGACGTGGCTCCGTTCCATCATAGAGGGAAACAGCTGTGCATGTCTGATATATCTGTTGCCAAAGCTCGAAATCGGTGTCGAAGTTCGAAGGTCACGTTATCAAGAGTTCATAAAATGAATATCGTTTAAAATTTCTTTAACGACTTGCGCTAAAAAGACGTGCCACGCACGTCGAGATGCTTCTGTCTCAAACCGGGCGATGTGAACACCGCGTCGATAAGCATTAATCGCAAAAATGAAAGTAACATGGTGCACACGTCACCTAACAACGAGATTGTTTATTTCTCGAGTTACAGCTCTGGATTGCACTCGCAGATGCGGAGCGGCGTAAATGAGACACTTTACCGCTTGTTATATTGTAGCGCACGGCACCGCAACCGTGAAGTTTAGTCTTAGCGCAAGGGGTTAAACTCTAAAGGAAAAGAAAATATTTTTTGGCGCAAGTAAATTAATTCATGGATTAGTTATTTTCAGGGGGGAAAAAACTACGAAAATCCGTTTTTAAAATTATTGCGTGGATTTTTTTCTCAATAATTTTAAAAACGGATTTTCGTAGTTTTCTTTTTTTTTGTCAAAGAGCGTTTCTTAACACGTGTTTTCTCAATTTTCCTGTACACATCGCGGAGAGGGAAATTCTGGCCGCCAGGTTCCGTCGCCAAATCCCTTGGCAAATTTTTCCTCCGCATTCTTCTAACGGCGTAATAGCATTTTACTTGTATGGAACCTTTTCTTCTTTACGTAGACGTTCTTTGGTTAGAATAATGAGATTTGGCGACATCATGATGCGCAGTAAACGGGTCATTTTGGTCTTGGCGACAATTTTCAAAATCGTGCCAAAACCTTACCGTATACTAGAATTTTTTACCGCAAAATCTTTTTAAACCTCTTTTTTTTTTTTTTTTTTTTTTTTTTTTTTTTTTTTTAATAAATACCTAGCCATTTTGCAGTAAAATAAAAAAATAGTAATCAGTCATCTAGGCTAGCCATGTAATATAACTATATTCGCTAAAATATCGTTGATTATTCTAATTCAATTTTTAAGTAATTATTTTTATGTTATTCATATAATTTAATGTTGCTTCTTCCCTCTAAATTTATTTATTATTAGTAAATAATATTTCCAAATTTCAGGAAATTTTCTCTGGCATAATCCAGAAATGAATTCTAGCAGTATGATGACATACCATCACGAAATTTAATGCACATATTTTTTCCTTATGTATGCTGCGAAATAAATATAAAATACCTCAATTTATTAAAATAGATTTCTTTCTTCCGTTTAGCTGCAGAATGTCTGCAAAAAAAAAAAAAAAAAGCCTTATTTTGTTCCAGATTGGGAAGATTCTAATCTCAATCTTCAGTGGAGAAAACAACTCCTATTATAATTATATTTGTGTTTTCAAGTGTTAAGGTGCCTTTTAAGAACATACCTCACGCAAATTAAATTTACCTAAAATCTAACCTAACTATTTAGCATTGCGTTGTGATTTATAAGGACCGGATTAGCCTCGTGTTGAACTGGTGATGATCATGAGTAATAATTAAATAAAACATACATTTGTTATCCAATATATATATCTTAAATTTTATTAAGTGGAAAACTAAACAAAATTATCAAACAAAGTATACCAAGAATAATTAAGAATAAATGTCCTCTGGGATTTATTGAATAATTAAGTGAATTTGCTACACAATACAAGTAATAACATAATTAATTTACCTCTTAGCACAGCCAACGTACATTACGCGGATAGACTGGAATTTTCTTGAAACACACCTGGAAAACCTGGAAAAGTCAGGGAATTTCATTCTCCTGTTTGAGTGGCAACCCCGGAAATGCTTCTACCAACTGAGGGAATGACTCTAATAGTGTATTTTGGTAAATACACCCTTTAAACATAACTGTTAATGCAGCAGAGCATGTTCACCGTTGGAGAATCACACTCATGTCCCATTACACCATGTAGAATTTTTGTGCCCCAAACTTATAAATTATGAGTTATTATTATTTGCAAGAAAAAAAGTGAAAAGTGGCTTCACCTATAAATACAAGTGTGGTTATGAAACCATCTGCTTCCATCTTATTTTGCAAATTCTCATAGAAAGCTTTACACAGCAGTTTGTCGCAAGGTTTTAACACCTGCAACATCTGTAAGGTGTATGGCTGGAATTGTAGACATTTACAGAACTTGTGCCACACTGTTACATGAGGCGAATTGAGTTCAGTGCTTGCATGATGTGCTGATTTTGTGGACTTCGTAGAAATGTTTCATGAATTTTCTCCACCACTGCTGTTTATCCTGGGTTGATTTTCTTACACAAGCTGCTCATGTTCTGAAACTGCTTCACACACCGTTCAATCTTGTGGTGATGTGGTGGTTTCTTTACCAAATTTTGCACAAAAATGTCTTTGAATGACGATAAACGATGATGTTTTGGCATATTCCAAAATACTGTACGTTTTCCTCTGCATGGATACTGCCATATTAACAGTGCCTCTAATTATGATTTTGTAACTGGAAGATTTTTTCTGTTGCCAGATAAAACTTGTATAATTGCAGTTTCAGAATAAATTTGTTTCTGCTTAACAAATCAATTACAGAATTTTCACTGTGCTATTCTTTTCATCTCATTCAATATGAAACACCCTGTGTATTATTACTTAGTGCTTAAAAAGTATTAAATGCTTAAATTAATTTAAACAAGATATTATTTTAAAAGCATTCCTTTCACATATCGAGCAGTTTTCGATAGTTGAAAAAATGGGGAAGCAGTGTTGCATCAGTGCAAAAAGATAAGTGCATAAAATTATTATGTTATTCACATTTACTTTGTGAACAGTTTTCTAGCTTGTTTGGTCATGGAAAATTTTGGTTTGTTATGAAAAATCGGAAAATGTCAAGGAAATTAAAAGTTGAAATTTTGTGAGAACCTTGCTTAGAAACAAAAGAATTAAGCTATTTCACACTAGAGAACAATTAGCTTAAGAAGTAATCTTGATAACATGCAAAGCCTGCTTAAAGAATGTGGGAAAAAGTTCAGAAATTAAGTGAAAGGGTGAAGCAAAGATTTAAGTTCCAGCTGCCAAGGTAAGCAGGTTATCCAAAACTCACAAAAGAATTGCAGTGCAGCAAACACTTTTTTTTTTTTTAATATGCATATGAATTGAATCTTCTGTATTAAATTTGATGTTTACATTACTTGTCATCAGTAATCCTGTGTCTGTGTGTGTTAAATGTCAGGTTATTCTGGTCATAAAAAATATTCTATTCATGGGGGGGGGATGTTTCATTTAGCATGTCAATTGCACTGGTTTTTATTATTCTTTTACAGCTTATTGATGATGAAATGCAAAATTTAGAGCGATTGAAAACTTCAAAAATCAACAAAAAAACTGATGTTGACAAACTGGAAGAATCAACTTCAGAAATTCGTAAACGATTAGCTGCTGCTCAGAAAGATATTACATCTGCTCAGAAACAAGTCACCGCTCTAGAAACTCGACTTGAACAGAAAAGAGCAGATAGGCATAGTTTGTTTCAAACTTGTAAGGTAAATTATATTTAATATTCCTTACTTCTATTTTTTTAATTTCAAGTATAAATTTGTTCATAATTTTAAGAAACATTTTAAAAATCCATGTAAAATAAACCACATGATGATTTTTGGTAATTCTTATGCTGATAGAGGAAGCCATTTTTTAATGGGAAGTTTGGTTGTATAATTTCTGTAGTTTGGTAATAAGAGAAAGCAGTATGGCATTTTGTAAATGTAAGCAATCATTTTGTATTGTAAAATACATGAAGACTTTGCTTATTTTGATTGTAGCGATGAACTACATTAAGTGAGTAAATGCTGTTGAACATTAGTATTTTGATCTGAGTTTAAATTGCTGAAAATGGCTGTATGTTGTCATATATAATATGATACACATATAAGCCAATTTTATTCAGAAAGTCTTCTGCAAAAATGCCTCTTTCTTTTAGACAGAAAGTTCTTTTGCTCTTTATCATAGTAAATTAAACAAACCACTCCCATTTAATCTCTTTTATCATTGCAAATATATCTGTATTGCAGCAACTTTCATGAAAAGTATGTGGGGAGAAATTAACCATCTCATAGGTCTGTCAGGAAAATAAGATACATGGAGGATTTGTGCAATGGGGGGTGGGAAACCTTAACAAATTGATCTGAATGCATTCAAAATTGATATCATTACTATTTTATTTTTTATGAATAATCCTGTATATGTATTTAAAGTTTTAATGGGTGTAATAAATAGTTATGATGAATGTGATTGGAATTTTATTACTTAAAATTAATTTTATTTTTAGTCCAAAGGGGCTTTGTCCCTGAAGGACTATTGTTTTCGTTTTGCGATTTTGCCTTGAAAACTTTAAAAGGCTCTATCACTTTTCAAATAGTTGCCACCAAATACTATTGTCCTATATTATATTGAAAAAATTAAATAATGAAGAATCTGCATAAACATATGTATGTTTTTCGCATTGTGATAAAACAACGGTACCTAGAGCCATCCAATTTTGAAGGACATAATCCTACTGCGAATATGGGCATCTGAAAGCCCAAGTTTGAAATTTGGAATTTGTTTTATTATTGACTTCATATTTTGTAAAACTTTAACAAATTTTTTATTAACAAACTCAACGATTTAAAAGCGAGCAATGACAACACTATACCGGAGGGAGGAACCTTTTTATGTCCAGCGCCCGGAACTGTGTATTGGAAATTCTAGATATGCTCATGCGATATTGCATTTGAATTGAATTTTATGGTTTAAGTGCAAAGAACATGATATAATCCTAAAGATATGCTCATTTTAAAATTATTTTGCAATATTGCTGTTGAACTGAATTTTATGGTTCAAGTGCGAAGAACATGATATTTAGTAAATAAAGTTAACACACAAAATGTTAAAAAAAATGCCCCTGCCCCTTTGGACGTAATTTAAAATCAGAAACCTTTCAGACTTTTTATTATATATATATATATGTTTGTATTTTTATAATTTTTATTTATTTCTTTATTTAAATACATGTGATTGACAAAATTCTATACTGTAATACTCTGAATTGAGGAAGAATGTAAAATGATAAAACACTTCTACTTATGTGCCTGTTTAAAAGGGGAAATGATATCTGTAAAAGTCAAATTTTAAATTTAAATTGCTTTGTCAACTATTCAACAAGTGTGTTATTAACTGATTAGAATTATTTATGCGAGTCATCCAGAAAGCTTTTCATGACCCATAAAAGAAACAAAGAAAGATGCAGCATATTTCAGCTACTTCTCAACATAAAAACCACAGGAATTATTACACTTATACCGTGGAATAACTTTTTTAGTATAGTGTCACAGAAGTCTGCCAGCATGCCACAGTTGTCTGCTCGTCATCTTCTGTAGGAAAATGATGCCCAAGCAAAAATTTCTTCATTTGAAAGAACAGGTGAATGTTGTTGGGAGTAAGATGAGACTGTAGGGTGGATGTTTAAATACCACCCAGCAAACCTTCTGAAGCGGACTATATTTGTGTAATTTGTCATATGCTGGTGACTGTTGTCATAGAGCAGCACAACACCAGTACTGAGCATTCCACACCTCTTGTTCTGAATTTCTCATTGCACATTCTGTAGTGTTGCACAGTACTGTTCATTGTTCATAATAGCAAACCTCAGCAAGAAGTTGACGAGCAGAATGCCCTTTCCCAGAAGTCCATGCACATCAATTTCTGTGAGGATGCAGGTCTACTTGAATTTGGTCTGGCACGGAGATCCACTTGTGATGCCACTGCATCGACTGTTGCTTGTTTTTTGGGGGTAAATTGAGAAACCCTTTTTTTTTTTTTTTTTTTTTTTTTTTTTTTTTTTTTTGTCATCCACAACAATCTTGTGAAGGTAATGATTGCATTCATCTTGATAGCAGAGTTCCTAACTCTCCCGATTTCCGACCATACTCCTGCGATGCCCATTTACAACATATTTCTCCCGACTTTCTCTTATGCTTAAAATTTCTCAGGATTTTTAATCTAGCATGGCTTAATATTTCGTTATTTGCATCCCCCAAAAAATATTTTTTGGCTTCTGAAAGTGCTTGTTTTCTCTCTACTTGCCTATAAAACTGAAGTTGTTTCATCAGTAAGACATGGCATGTTTCTGCTTTGTGTGCAAGAGTTTGAAAACGTGTTCTAGTTCTGCAGTGAGCCTCAAGCATTGCTGTGGGTCATCTGCCATATATTAGCCAATGAGCACAAAGCAAAATCAAGGCTGTTATTTTGTTCGTCTTGCCAGTGGGCAGAGTAAGTTTCACGCACTTCCCTAACACAGTTTAAAAAACTGCGATCTGCTGTCTTAGTTATGTTTGTTTCCCATGCTTCTCCAAAACAATTTTAAAAACTGCGATGTCGTGTCTAAATTATGTCTTCGAAAAATGTAAAATACTTATGATTATGTTAATTTTATTAATAGTTAAATTTTGAGTTAACTCTCCTATCAGTTCTTAACTTCAACTTACCACTTCCGACCAGAATGTAGTTTAAGAATCACATCTGAATACATAATGAGGAAGAGCGGTATTTAATCGCAAAGTTTTTCAGTCTTAGGGAGAGAGATACTAGCTATTCTGGCTGCACACGTTTGCCTTTTTAGGCTACTCTCTCATAAGCTATTATTACGCTCGGCCGTACTTTAGGCTCTTGATAGCTTTGCAGTCTATTAACATTAAGGGGCAAACTCTGTTAGAATCTTGATAACTTCAGCTATATCTCTTTAGTAAGCAGAAGAAGAAATAAAAGCCAATGTCTTTACGCACTACAACAACGTTAATGTTGAAGGATTGGGAAATTACGACTTCCGCGTAAGATAGCCACATTCACAAACTACCCAGCTTGTGTTTTCGCATTTTAGGCCTTTTGCAGCACCATTTTTTAGTGATGTTGGAAACTTACTTTTCAGATGATCCTCATAATCTTCCATAAGCATTTTGTCTCCTCATGTAAAATATAATTTTGCATGGAATCAAAAATTAAATTGAGCTATTAACTTTTACTGCTTTCATTGTAGTTGCTCCACAAATATGTAAGTGATTCACATATTAAAAATAATATTGTTTTTATTTCGAGAAATAAAAATTAAAAAATTTATATTTAAAAAAAAAAAACCACTGATTGATTGATTGATGAGATTTTTGAATAAAACTCTGAATTTGATTCAGAATCTGTGTCTATCTAAAGCTGCTGGTTTTTTTGGGGGGGGGAGAAGTATAATTTGCATTGTGTTTTAGATGTTTAGAGATTATTCATATTTTTGGAAGAACTTTGTTAAGAAATAAATGCAGCAAAGGAAATGTCTCCATTTTATTTTAAAGTAGCTGAAAATATAGATGCATAAAAATTATGTTGCACTTTTTTGTTCCTTTCCTTTTAGTTGGAAGATATTCGAATTCCAATGATTGAAGGATCAATGGATGATATTGACCATACAACTTCCAGTCAGCAAGATGATATGGATATATCAGATGTTTCTGGCAGCCAGAGCACTCAAAGGATTTATGAAAAAGAAGCAAAGATAAAAATAGATTATACCGATCTTTCAGATGATTTACGAGAGGTAATATTTTCATGAAAAGTTTTGTAATTTTTCCTCGTTAATTTTTCATGTTTGTTGTTGTAGTTAGTTCTTTTAGAAATGCATTTAAATTTTTTAATATAAAAATTTTGCTAAGATTAATTATCCAATATTAATTATATATATTATTTTGACTAACCATATTATGATCTCTGCATTTATCTTTCAGCATTTATATAAAACATTAAAAAAATAATGTACAGGGAAACTAAAAACTTTTCTGCATAATTAAGTATGTTTGTCTTGACTATCTATGAAACTGCCTTGTTTTCTCTTTAGTATTAGAGGGTGGTATTGTTTAAAAACGAAATTTACCATATGTAGTGTCATTTTGTATAGAAAAACTATAAGTCTATTAATAATTTTCTAAATTTTTGCAAGTTTTTATGTTACTGTTATTAAAGCAGATTGATTTGTATTCAGAAATTCAGAACGTAGGAAAAATCTGATTAAAGTACCCCACTCACCATAATAATTCTAGCCTCAGATGATCACAATTGCTATAGCTTTATTTAACTTTTAAGTAATTGCATTTAAATAAGACCATTAAAAAATTATATTTTCCGTTTTGATTTAAAAAAATAAACTTTGCTGGTTCCAAAAACATACAAAAACTGTGTAAGTTTGAAATACCAAACTCTGGTAAATTAAGATAAAATATAAAAATTAGGACATAAATGTCTCCTTTTTAATGAGAGGATTTTTAAGAAATTTCTTTTGAACACTTTTAACAAAGATTTATGAATATTTTGCATAATTATGCTCTCTTTATGCCAACAGTATTATGTATAAACATTTCCTTTCAGAATTACATCTGCTAGGAATAAAAATATATTTTAAAGGCCTTAGTTCCAAACAGCATTTACTTGAATATATCCATGGGCACACCGAAACTTCTAGAAATAGGTTTGTTGGTGTAAAATTGTTGAATTAATGCAGATATAAGTGTAAGGAAATTTGGGAAACTGACAAAATTCATTCTTCAAAGTTGAAACAATGATTTATAAAATCAATTGGGAAGCACGAATTTTTAAAGTAAAAGGAACCTTAAAGCCGCAGAACTGCCATCACAACATGATTGTGGTGCAAGAATGTTAAAAAAAAAATTTAAATGTTGCTGTGGAGCAGTATGTTTAGTTTTTCAGATTTTTGTCAAAATGAGTTTTTCCATTATTTAAGTACATATTTATAAAATTCAATTCGTGAATCAAATCAGAAATTTTATGTTATGGTGTTACTCCCCAAAATGGACTGACTGAACCTATTTCAAGTTTATCTGTAAGAAAGAATGAATTATTGAGGCACTTATCCCCCCCCCAAAAAAAATAAAAGATTTGATTTTTAAGATTTCTTTTTCTTCTTCCCTTCCTCCCAACGTGTTAGAAGAAAAATAGATGTACTTAAATTTTTGAACATATTTGTCAATATCAATTCAAATTTAAAGCAATTTTATAAAGGAGAAAAATTTTCAGGCATTTATATGTGATTATATGTAAAAAAAAAAAAAAAAACTAGCATTTCAATAACTTTCTGATGTAATAATCTAATGTTTCTAATGTATATGAGTAACCAAAAATGTAGTATTGAGAATAATTTTAATAATAATGTCTGGTATATAAGAATAAAATATTGTAACTGTATAATGAGTTTTAGGAAAATAGTTCAGTTATTTATAATTAAATGTTTTCGGGTTTTCACTGTTGAAAAGTTCTTGCTTCTCTTAAAAAAATTATGTTTCAAATGCTACCAAAAAACAGTTGTATAGCACAGTAAATGTGCTTGTTATGTGTACATAAAGGACATAAAACAGCATGAATGAAAGTTTCATATTATGAAACTCAAAAACCAAGTAGGATATGTGAATACTGAATGAAATAACGTGGTGTGTGTTAATTTAGCTAAAATATTTATGTGGCTACTTGAATAATGCAAATTATTTGGCTAACAGCCTTTTTTTGTTAAAAATTAGTCTCCTCAAATTATAGAATTTAGATTGGATATTAGTCAGTGCAGCCTGCTCAGATAATAATTTTAAATAAAATAGGAGTTTAAAATGATAGAAAAAATTTCTTAAAAGAAAAAAAAATTCGAAATTTTACTTAGATTCATAACATTTTTAATGCATAAAAAAGAAACCACGCAAAAGGAGAAAAATCTGTCTCTTAATTAAAGTGTAGCATACTGAATGCGTGAAAATCCAAGTTAATTTAATGTTAGCTCATTCTGCTATATTAGCATGCATATGGGTAGGAGTTTGGAATTTTTCCATCATCAGTTTAAATCAAATAACGTGCAGAAATTATAAAATATAAATAATTGGTTTATGAAATAAGGAAACATTTATAAAAGAAAAAGAAAAAAAAAAACCTTGATAATTATTTGTTTGTTTTAATAAACATATCTTTCAATATAAGTTAATTTAGTTAAATAAGTTTTTTTTTGTGCTAATATTTTCTCTTTAATTCTATAGATAGGCATAATTATTTGTTCAGTTATGATATTAAATTGTTCAAGTCTGTCTCGCCAAGTATTCCCACAATACTGTCAATTGAAATTTTTCATTCTCTACAATCCGTGTGATATTTTTTCCATATTGGTAGCGATATTTTCTGGATTTTGAACCATGCTATAGATTTCACCGTCTATTAGTTAATTGAGAATGAGAGCATTGTTGCACAAATTTCATTACTTGGAAAATTTCACGTTGTGTTTGTGATATTCGAAACCTTCAAATTCATGGCTATCATTATAAAGGTTAGCTAGTGTTCTTTTTGTACATGACTGGCAACTAGAAATGTGTGGTTCTCTAAATTGTCTTCTGCTAATGTCTTGCCACTGAGGAAGGCAGGCCAGAATTGCATGGTATTTATTATAGCTATTATTCACGTATGCCCAAGACTTATCTGAGTCCTGAATAAATAAACTGGTTATTATTAATTCAAACATCACAAGTGTAATCTTTTGTAATTTACAAAATCATCCTTTTTGTTTTCATATGGAAAGAAATTTCTATTAAATTTCCTCTCATCAGCATGCTTAACACTTTGCACTCTTTGATCACTGTCAAGCATAATTAAAGGATCATTAAAGGTAACTACGCTCTTTGGGATTCTGTTACTAATATTTTAAAAAAATTATTTAAATATCACCTCATGAGTCAATTCTCAAGCTGTCGTGTGGTGATGAAAGCAGAAAGTAAATAATGATTTGCAACGTGTGTGTCAGGTTAAGTTATTCATTAGGTATAAAATTGATCATGTTTTGATGTAGAACATTTCAGTTTGAGATGTGTGCGAAGCAGAAAGATGGCTCTGCTGCCAAATTATATTGATCATCCAGATTTATGCTAATAAAAAAAAATGTTTTATAAAATTAGGCAAAGCAGCAACCTTTTGTTTGTCGTACATTTTATTCGAGACTATTGATTTCAAAGGCAAATAGGTGCAGGTCCTTCTTCATCAAGAGCAAAGAAATCTGCCATGGTTGTATTTATTCCCAAAAGGAGAAAAAAGGAACAAGAAGGTAGCACCATCTGTTGACAGAAATAGTAATGAAGATTCTAAAATTAAGTTTATGAATTTTAAATGCATTAGGAAGAACACTTAATTGGAATTAAAGTCATATCTTATTCTAGGTTTTACTTTAGTACATTTTGCTTCTGTGTTGAAATGATTGTTTCTTCAGCGTGGAGGTATTTTATTTAGTGCCGTAGTAAAATTCAGAATCAAGACTCTCCATTTGTTTTATTATGAAAAAATGTCAAATGAGCGTGTGTAAAACATAACAAAAAAGTTTCTTTAAAGACTTCTTACAGTAGTAATAAAGGCTCCTTTTCTATGTTTCCCAAACTGTTTTAAGTATTTCCTAAAATAAAAAATCTGAAATTAAGTACAATTTTTCTTTTGAATTCTATAGTTGGACTCGAATGAAGATATAAAGAAAGAAGGTGATAGATTATTCAAAGAAATAAATGATATGCTATCTCTTTTACGAAGAATTCAAGCACCAAATATGAAGGCTATGGAAAAGTAAGGAATACATTTTTCATACTTGTAAACTTTCATATTATTTAGTTTTTCTTTATTTTTTTATGTAATTGATTTTAATTTTAATTTAAGAAAATTTGTTTTCTGCCAGTAATTTTTTAAGGTTTCTAATTAGTCATTTAAAATATATCTTTACTAATTTATCATTTAATCTTCTGTCCTCCCTAATGAATATAATATTTGTATATATACGTATATGTATATTCTTCTATGTCTATTAATTTATACAGATTTCAATAATTTTTTATTGTTTTTACAATAATATGAGAGTGCCAGGGAATGTTTTTTCTAAAGTGAGGATTTCGTTTAATTCTGTTCTTAATGAATTCCTTAAATTCGGAAAAATGTCTTACTCATTTTTATTTTAGAGTTTTTGAGAAATGTTATGACTTAAGCAGACTAATTTCTTTCTAATAATTGAGTTTTGTTCATATTTTAAGAACCAACTCTAGCAAAATGATTAATTTTATCTTTACTTGGAAAAAAAAAGACGAAACACTCTCATTTAATTTGATTATTGTTATTTGATAGTGGATTGGTTTGCTCCCTTTGACAAGTCAATTAATGTATGATTAATGGCAGTGGCTACCTTTTAATAATTTTTACTACCATAGAAATGTATATAACATTTTTTTACTACATTAGAATTCTAAATAATTTCAAATACTGCTTAAAAACTGACTAAAATTTATTTTAATCATTCGTCACTTTAATTAAATTTCTGTTCCTTGAAGATGATATAAGAAAAACCTTTTCTAATAATGTATATATATATACATATATACAGGGTGTACCGTAAATGTTGCGACAAACTTCTAGAGGAGGCAGGGCACATCATAAGGATTAAGAATTGCATAGGAACCGATGCCCAGAAACATTACCCTACGCCGCCAGGGAATGCTCTACAAGAGAGTGCTAGTGGAAAGTGAGGATTGCCTCATTCGAGCAGTAGCTACCATACAAAGAGCATGGAATTCTATGCAAATGGAGAACTTGCAGACATGTACTTAGTGTACTCGATAGGTAACAGGTCTGGAGACCTGACAGGCCAGTTGAGGACATCAAAACATCGAAGACATTTTTGGGAGTTGTGCTGTATGTCCTGCAGGAAAACTGAACCTGGATGACCTGCTGGTATAATTTGCTGCAAAACATTGTCAACGTGCCTGCGAGCAGTTAGAGTACCTCGCAGCACGACTAATGGTGAATGGCTCTCCCAGTTGATCGCTCTCCAGATCATCACACCCTGTATTCTGGCTGTGTGCCAGTTGGTAACAAATGGTGCATTGGACTGCTCACCTCTTTTTCTCCAGACATGTGTGCAGCAGTCATCAGCATTGAGAGAAAAGCATGATTCATCGCTGAACATCACATTTCCTCAATCAGACACTATCCAGCTTGAGTGAAAGCGGTACCATGCAAAATGACACTTCTTGTGGAGGATTAATGGTAAGCATCTTAATAGACATTGAAATCTGAGCCCAACATCACCTAGTCTTCCATGAATTGTATTTCTAGATATCCCGGGATCCATGCAAAATGGCAAATAGCATTGAATTGATCATAGCGTAACTGTTGGTGCAGATGTGGCAGCTCTTTTAATTGGTCCAGGATGTCCTGAGCTACTATGGAGGCTGACGATGCCTTCACTGAGCCACTGGTTCCAACAATGGACACTGACCATTATGCTGGCCCATTTGCTTGTTCGACAGACTGGCCTCTTTTAGACCTATGATGCAGCCCCTCTCAAAGTCTTGACTACTGTTCATAATGCCGTCTCAAGTATGTGTTAAATGCATCTTTCAATGCAAATTATGCATCCAATGTCCTGTATTTATGTATTTCAAATTTGACATTGCGAAAAAATGAATATTTTCATCATTTAAAACACTTCTGTAAATAGAAGTATACGACTACAACCAACAGTTAAAAATAAGGCTGTGTAAACCAGGTAAGGGTGTTTTGTGCTGCCGATTGCAGTAAAAATAGAAGGTGCACAGGTGGATGTTACAGTAGTCCATATGTACAGATATCACACACACACACAGAGAGAAGGAAAAAAAAAAAAACTTAAAGGTTTCAGATTTTAAAACAAGTGTCTAAAGGGGCGTTTTTTCAACGTTTTGTGTGTTATTTTTGTTTATTAAATATCATGTTTGAACTTAAACCATAAAATTCAGTTCAATAGCAATGTCGCAAAATTTTTTAAATCATATCTTTAGAATTTATAATACACAGTTCCGCGTGCTGGAGATTAAAAGGTTTTTTTTTTTTTTTTTTTTTTTTTTTTTTTTTTTTTCCCCGTAAAGTGTTGCCATTGGTCGCTTTTAAATCATTGAGTTTGTTACTCAAAAATTCGTTAAAGTTTTACAACATATGAAATCGATAATAAAACAAATTTCAAAATTCGATGGCTCTAGGTACCGTTGTTTTATCACAATGAGAGAAATATAGATACATTTATGCAGATTTTTTATTATTTAATCTCTTCAAACATAATGCAGGACTGAAGTATTTGGTGGTAACAGTTTGAAAAGTGAAACGGACATTTATAATGATTCAACGCAAAATTTAGGAAAACGAAAACAATAGTCCTTCAGGGACAAAGCCCCTTTGGACTAAAAATCATCCCAATGTATTTAGGAACTGTGAAAATAGATATTTTGATTGAAATAGGATACCTGAAATTTTTCACGATTACAATATTTTCTTGACTCTTCATACAAGGAAGTAAAAAGTGTAAAATTTTGTTTTTAAAATTTTTTATAAAGTACGTAAATTTGCAAAATTATCATAGTTTAAAAATTTATCATTTGAGATTCATTTCTTAAATAGAAAAGTTTTTTATCACATTTCCTTGTCTCCAAGTAGATCTCTGAATCTTATTCTTTTTAATTTTTAGTCTTTTCTAAGGAAAATAGCTTCCTAATAAATGAAATTTTTTGAATATTAAGTTATCTAAATCTCATTTCCCATCTTCAGAAATTTTCAGGATAATTTTTATTAAATTTTATTTTATCTGAATTGTCTTAATTTACAGACTTTGTAAAACTTTTTAATTAAGGTTCTACTAATTAATGTTTAAATATATTTTCCATCAATAAATAGTACATTGTTTAGTCACACAATAGTATGTGTGTTAATTATTAATTGTATTATCACAGTATTTGAAAGTAGTATGATGAATAAAATTTATTCTTGTAAGAAAAGTGTAAGAAAATTACAAAATGAAATTTACTAAAGAACATAAAACATAAAATATCAAATTAAATAATGTGATATTTTTCATCAGAATATTTATAAACAGTGTTATAGCCTGAATCATGCATTATTAAGTGAAGCTCTTTTGAAGTGGTGTTGCCATGCAGTTCAGTAACCTTCCACTTTTTCATATTTCGTGTTTTGCATCTATGCATATTTTAGTTTTATATTGCTTATTTAAAATTATATACATAAAAAATACTGAATTTTAGTGAAACTCATTATAAATCATTTTAAATAGCTTTAGTTTATTGAGAATATTTAAAATTCACTTTTCTTGGAGTGATTAAAAATGCTTAAAGATATTCTGGAGTTCAAAGAGAGAACAGAAATGTTTAATAAACTTATACAGTATTTAATTATATATACTCTGTTAGTTGTATTTAATTTTACTACAATAAGCAGATTAAAAAAGTATCTAAGAGAGTAATGGTGATATTAAGTACAAATTTATTCGCATATGGTTTCTAATTATGTAAATTTTTTTTCCACCCATCATCTTAGAAATGGTTTAATGTTGTGTGTCCAGGAAAATTTTACAGCTCATAATTGCACCCCGTGTAATTTCCCTCAGTTGATTTTCATCTGGTATGGATTTAAATAGCAGGAAAAATGATGTAATTAGATATAGCATATAATATAAATTGGCTTAAAATATCAAAAAATGTGTTGTTCTTACATAATTTGATGCAATATTTTATATTAGTGTTTGTTTTTATATAGGCTTGATGGTGTAAAAGAAAGATTGAAGGAAACTGATACTGAATTTGAAAATGCTAGGAAAAGAGCTAAAAAGTCAAAACAGACATTTGAAAAAGTGAAAAGGGAAAGATATGACAAATTTATGAAATGTTTTGATCATGTATCCAATAGGATTGATGAAATTTATAAGGTAAGCATTTTGTTCATATTTCTATTATTTATCAGTTCTTGTAAATAACAGTGCATTAAAATTAGTCTACTGATAATGTTTTCCTTAAATTTTTGTTTTTATAAACATGCTTTTTCTATCTGTTTAAATTTCATAACATTTAGTTTAATTAAAAAAAGTTGGTTACGAGTTCCCAAAAACTGTAATTAAGGAATAATAATTTATTCTTAATTATGTGGCTAGAAGTTTTCCATAAAGTGATATTTAAATTTTTTTGTTCTGTGTAGTTTTCCATTTGGTTGCTATATTGTTTATTGAAATTCATTTATATTGATAAAATAAAATGGACAGTATCGAAATGTTTTCAGTATAAGTGGCAGTCTAGTTGATAAGTGAGGAAACTGCTGCATACATTATAGCATAGTGTAATAAGTTATGAACTGTGGTACACTAACAAAAAATTGGAATAAAAAGTAGTCATTTTATTTCTGTTGTAAAGGCTTGAGAAACGTGCAAAATTTAAACACATGCTTAGATATTAGTCAGCAAATGCAGTTTCCCCCTTTCATTTGGAAAATGACTGTAAAATTGTGTTATTTATCTGATTATGACAGAACACACTAGAGTATCTATCTAAGAATGCCTTCATGGAAAACAAACTCCATAGATTCAGTTTGAAAAAGGTGTTGATAAAGAACTTCAAAAGAAACAGCATTCCTTGAAGTTGCAGGTTGTGGGAGTTGTTAACAAAAAAATTGTTGGGGTTTTCCTCCCTCTTTAAAATCTAAGGTATTGAACCCTCTTTTTTTGAACAGGAAAACAAAATGTATTTTCAATACTAATGTTATCTCACTCTCTTTCTTTCTGTGGTCCACTTCCACAATTTTCTGTAATAAAATACTGTGATTAATAAAGATGTGCAATTTTTTTTCCGTAATTCATTTTGAAACTTATTTTCATTCATTGGTTTTTACTGGTACTGGGGGGGATTAGCTGTTTTATATAAAATTTAACAAAATATTCTTTTAAGAGTAATATTTCCTGTAAATGTGGTTATCATTTATGTATATTAATAATTTGCATTTGTCTTGCAATCTAAAAGCAAATTACTAGTCCTTAAATTCTGAGTTTTGACCAAATTGTCGCCAGTTATCAGACTTATTACTGCTGATAAAACGTGTTGTTATAATATATTTTTTAAATAACATATTTTTTTAAATACATGCTTTTTTTTTTAGATTATTTGAATTTTTTCTGAAGAGTCTTATTTGTGTATATTTTAAAATCACTTGCAAGCCCTTCTGACATGCAGTATTAACTGATCAATGTCATTAGATGGCATTGATGCTGATTGTCATTCCAAAAGTTATTGCAGTATATTATAAAGAATTTTTGGAAATATTTTCTTATTCTTCTTCTCAGATTGCAATGGAAATGAAATCTCTTTTAAAATATGTAGATGAAAATTTTGTAATTCCATCCAGAATTTAATGCTGCTATTAGAATTGTTCCTTATACCCCTGCATACTTAAAATATATGTTACTTTTCAACTTTTTAGGCTCTCACAAACAATCAAAGTGCCCAGGCATTTCTTGGTCCTGAAAACCCAGAAGAGCCATATTTGGAAGGTCTGAATTATAATTGTGTAGCTCCAGGAAAAAGGTTCCAGCCTATGAGTAATCTTTCTGGTGGTGAGAAAACTGTTGCTGCTCTGGCTCTCCTGTTTGCGGTCCACAGGTAAGGCAATTGTTTAACAATATTTCTTTGTGATCATATAAGAGAAAAATGCTGATTCAAATTAAAAACCCTATTTAAAGTGTTTGCTATAATTATTATTCTTTTAGATGACATTGTAACAGATTTAAATAATATTAAAATCTTGTAGTTTAAATAATTTAAATAGATGAACATTAAGGTATTTGTGAATGGCAATATTTGAAACCAGACTCGAGTGCCTCGTGCAGATTTCGCATGAAGAATGTAATTTATTTTTAAATGTTAGAATATGTTTTCTCTTCTTGTTTGTATGTCGCCATTTTTTTTAATGTTAAATAAAAGTTATTGCTGTGTTCCATCATTGGAGTTGCTTCATATCGCCAAAGAAGTATTACAGTCATAAATATTTTGGAGGCACCGACCGAGATCGAATAATCGTGCATATTTTTATTTTATTAGTTCATCACTGAACGTGCAATATTAGTGATACCAGATTATTACTTCCTGTTGATATTAAATTGCCTTATTTTATTAGTTCATCACTGAACGTAACTTCCTGTTGATATTGAATTGTCGTTATTGTATTAGTTCATCACTGACATATCCGATTCTAAAATTAGTAACCAGATTATTACTTTCTGTTGATATTGAATTGTCTTATTTTATTAGTTCATCACTGAACATAATATTAGTGATATCAGGTTATTACTTCCTGTTAACACTGAACTGCCTTATTTTATTAGTTTATCGCTTGAACGTAAACTTAGTGATACCATTTTAATGCCGTTTCTAACTAGAGCTCAAAGGAAAAGAAAAATATCTGAAGAGCAGATCTTGGAACCGATGAAGGAAGAAAATAAAGCATCCAGAGATGTATTTGAAGAAGAAGTTAAATCACCAGAATTAAACGTGGAGGATGTTCATGAAAATTTGAAAAACGATAAAGAAATTAATATTGAGAATCATTTTGCAATGCAGCGTTATCATCACCTTTCGGCTTTTGATTTAATATAAAAGCCGCTACTAATAGACGAAGAAAACAATTGTCGAAAGCAAATGACAAATGAATATTATCCGAAAGGCACAGATGAACTGAGGAAAGGCTTTGCTGTGAATTATAGCCGAGGAACTGGTCCCCCATGGAAGAGATCTATGTGCCGTCAAGAAAAAAAAATAAGAAGACTAATTTGAATACTGTCCATTTTCTTCTTATTTAAATGTGGTGTAAAAATATTTGTTTAAAACTTAAAATTTTCGGCCTGAAAATTTGGAAATTTATAAGAGAAATTACCTTTTCTCTTTAAGCGTTTGAGCAAGCCGAGCTTATAAACTTTTGAAATTTACAGAACTTTTCCCTTCGGCAAAAGTTTCTCCGTTGGGGGAGAGGTTGTAACAGATTTAAATAATATTAAAATCTTGTAGTTTAAATAATTTAAATAGATGAACATCAAGGTATTTGTGAATGGCAATATTTGAAACCAGACTCGAGTGCCTCGTGCGGATTTCGCACGAAGAATGTAATTTATTTTTAAATGTTAGAATATGTTTTCTCTTCTTGTTTGTATGTCGCCATTTTTTTTAATGTTAAATAAAAGTTATTGCTGTGTTCCATCATTGGAGTTGCTTCATATCGCCAAAGAAGTATCACAACATCTTATTTTATAGTATTCAATAGTTCCAGTGCTAAATCTATACATCATTAGAATCACAAAGCAAAAGTACATCCTTCTTTATAAAACACTTTTTTGGGGGAAAATGGAGGATATTTCTGCCAGCATCTCTAATTAATCAGAAAAACTCTTATTTCTATTTCCTTAAATTAATTCTTATTTCTATTTCCTTAAGGCTCAGAAATCCATAGTCTTGAAGTTGGCAACAACAGAAAATGTTTAATGTAGGTTTGTAGTGCAAGGATAATTTCATTAAGTATAATAGTCCTGTTTTTTGGTTAGAATTTCAAAAAAAGAGAGAAGTCTTTGAGTAGACTTACAGCACAGAATATTAGCATGGTATACCCTTTCATAAATTTCCAGTACTTAATATATACAAAATGTGCACTACTTAAATACTTTTTTCACATATAACCACTAGCAAAATACTTGGCTCACAAGATATGGATGTGCCACACCAAGCAAATGCATAACTTGCAATAAAGGAAGTGCACAACAAAACAATTTCTGTGAGTGATAAAATAATTTACTGCTATGCAGTAATCATTGTAGGACTGCTGTATGCATATTTTGCTGCATGGGCACAGTTTGGAACTTTCAGATCGTCTCTGCAGTTAGTTGTTCTTAAGTTAGATAAATAGTAATGTCGTTATATATATTATACATATTAGCCTCAGGTAACTTGAAATAAACCATATGTAGTTTTAAATGATTAAAGGGAAATTAGCTATTTTATTAGAAATACGAGTTTTGTCATTTTTTGCTCAAAATTCTATGCTGTTCATTCTCTATCTTCCGCATAAGCATTCATGTCTGAAGTTATATGAAAATAGAGTTTTAAATTGGTGATTCATTGTTGGTGCTTTTCAGAATTCCTAAAATGTATAGAAATCTCATCATTTTACTTTTAAAAAAATTTTCCTTTCTTTCTTTGTTAGATTTCACATTGTGAAAGTACATTTTTGATTCATTAAGCAAATAACGAACTAAAAGCTGGCAAGGTTGTAGATCATCATTTCATTATATCATACTAACTGTAGAGGAAACTGATTCACTTAAATGAGAAGCACATTTTAAAATTAAAAATAATCTTTTCCTTATGAATTACTAACTGTTTTCTATGAAGAGTTCTAAAAGAGCTGATACAAATTATAAAAATGACTAGTTTTTCAAACATAGTACCTTCTTCCTCACATCCTTATATTTGGATTTTTTTTTTTTTTTTTTTTTTTTAATTATGATTATACATATACAGCACATGTGGAAAAAGCAATTTTTTTAACTTGTTCAACTACTAGAATCACTTTCTCTCTTTCTCAACAAAACATCTAATATCAAAACAAAAAAGGGGGGCCCTTTTTTGTTGCAAGTACCAATTTGTTTTTTTTGTACAGTTCATGAAATTTATTATATTTGTGGCTGAAAATAAATTATTCTTTTTCAGTTGTAAAAGAAATTTATATATTTAGGTAACTATGTATTTTTATACCATGTCCCTTCTTCTCTTTCATTAAGTTTTCCAATTTCCATTTATAGTTATCAGCCTGCTCCATTCTTTGTGTTGGATGAAATTGATGCTGCTCTGGACAACACAAATATTGGAAAGGTATTTTTTTAACTATTTTAATGAGTTGAAGCTAGTTTTATTGAAAAGAATTAATGAAAAATTATGTGTATCTACAATATTTATCTATACACAGTTTATTTTCTTTCTTTTTTTTTTTTTTTTTTTTTTTTTTTTTTTTTTTTTTTTATGGTAATAAGATTTATTGAAGATAGAAAAAGATTACTTTTGTTATATACCCTTAATTTAGTTCTTACCTTCAACTGAATTATGTGGCATTTGTCATCTAATACATATAAAGATATGCAGGCAAATTAGATTATTATAGATGTAGCAAATTAAGTTATTATACTGATATGAAGTAGCAATGTAGTTGTATAGAAGCATAAAGTAGCAAAGCAGAATGCTAATTTGTTGATATTATTTTTCAAAAACAAATTTTGTTCAGAATTTTATAAAAAGTGCTTTCACAGACAGTAGCCTAAAATAGCTATTAAAAAATGTATTTAAAAATGCATTCATTCATTATATTACATTTATATATGTAATGGTTTTAAACAGACCAGTTTGTATTAATAATAATAGGGATGAAGAACTGTGTTTATTCATTTTAAATTGCTTAATTTGTATAACAGTAGCAGTCAGTTTAAATATATATATAAATATATTTTATGCACAACACACTAATGCAAGTATTTTGTTTTATCAGTGGCAACACATTTCTTTTAAACCGGTTAGTGTATTGAATAAATTTAAAAGATAAATAACATTGATAAACAATGTAACAGTGGAAATAAAATTGGGTGCCTTAAGAGAATGGAGAAAGATAAAAGCATTAATAAAACTGTCATTGGTTTAGGTGTTGATGAAATTCTTTTTATAAAAGTTGATACCCTGTCAATGTACAACATTGAGTATGTGGGGCTCTATATATTTTCAAAATTTGGTGGCTGTAGGTGGTGGGTGCCATTTTTCCCTAGTGTGATGAACATGCATATATACAGATTCTTTATGATTTAATAATAGAGACATAGATTTTAAACTTAAGATAAATAAGGAATTTTTTGTGAAGTGTATTATAAATTAATAACTAATGTACTTTTTTGAAGTGCATTATGTGTTATTGTATTTTTAATACCAAAGTTTATGTGTGTGTATAAAGCCAGCAAATATATTTTTTATAAAAGTGTAAATTATGCTATTTGAATTTGTATTTTGTTGTTATTAGTGCTTGACTTCATTAATAACAGTGGGATACAACTTCATCTGTCCCATAAATTAGATATTTGGGGCTGGGGAATTACAAATATTTTGTATTCTAGCTGTCATTTTTTTATGTAAATTCAACTAATTTTTTATCACACTATAATATAGCTATTAGTATTATTTAATATGAAATATTCAGCCAATGTTTTGCTTCTAGTATCATTGGGGATAGGGATCAAACACAAATCCCTCCTGTTATAACAGATATGAGATCTTAATATTTTTTTTAATGTAACCTTAATTTTTAAAATAAATTGTTTTCAAGAGAAGGCGTTATTATATTTTTAGCGCAGGCAGCAGATTTCTGTGATGTGTATGTGTGTATACAGTAGAACTCCAATTATCTGAATCAGATGGAATTGGATCCCATTCAGATAATCAAAACTTCGGATTATTGGATTTTTCTCGTAGAAGAAAGATTTTTCCAAATTATGTACGCTTTAATTAATTACTGCATGTTGAAAATAAAAGAGAAAAATTATTTTTAAAGAAAAAGAGACTTTGATTAATTGAAATGAAAAGGCAAATGTTCATGGTATGTAATGTGTACAGTACTTACAAGTGCTGAAAGCCATTGCTTGCTGAACATCTCGGTCAAAGCAAGCTGTTTGACTGTCTTCATTTGTTTGTGGGCAGACAAGTCATGCATCCGCTTGACAGTGAGAAGTTGCATATAGACACACTCGAGCTGATGCTACATCCACTTCACTGCAGTTTTAAGGTCGGCAAATGCTTTACTAGCTCATGTTCCTGTGTCTGTTTCACCATTAGGGCAGTCTTCATCCTCAACATTTTCTTCTTTCACACTTTCAACAAGTTTATCACCATTTAGAATTTGAAACCCAGGGTGTGACGAATGGTGTGTGCACCATCCATTTTGCTGTATCCTCAACACTAACTTCTGAACATCCAGAAATTTTCAAAAGAATGTTTTTTAATTCCTCAAGTGACACATCATCCTCATCTTTTCCTGTCTCTTCCCTTCCCTTTTCTTGAGCTTCTTTTTCCTTTTTCTCCTTTTGCTTGTCTTCAGTTGATTCTTAGAAATTCTAAAAGCTATCAGCAATTTGGATAATTGGAGTTTTGATAACTGAAGTTGTACTGTATTTTTACAAAATTGATTTCTTTAAATTTTAAAATGCCAAAAGAGAAATATTTGTCTAATTTAAAACATTTTTGTAACTGGAAATATATGTTTAAAAGCAATATTTATGAAAATACAGGCTTAGGTAAGGACGTTACAGAACGCATTGTGTGTATAATATATATAGAGAGAGAGATCAATGCATATCATTAGGAAATCTATTTAAAATACAAGCATATTTGATGATGTATGATTGTCTCATGATTTAAATTATAAACACTTTCATAATACTTCCTGGAATTCAACTGTTGTAGTGGTAATAAAGGTAAAAAATTTTAATGTTTTATGTGGCATTATTTGATTAGTTAATATATCTATATTGTCTATAAATGCAACTGATTTTAAACGAGTTTGATGTGCTGATTTAATTTATTAAAACCAAAAAGAAAGTGTAATTGATTTTTAAGAAGAATTATATCTAGCTTTATTATATTGTTGTTAGGTGGCTCGCTTTATAAGAGAACAGACAGAAACATCATTTCAGTGTATCGTAATATCTCTGAAAGAAGAATTTTACGGTCATGCAGACTCATTAGTTGGTATAGTTCCAGATGTAAGTATTAATTTTTAATATTTTACTTATGAAATATGTACTTTCTAAAATATACAAACTGCTGTCCAGTATGATGGTTAATGGAACTAGATGCCATATTGTTGGTCTCAGGTTCAAATCCCAGAAATGATATCCGTTTGTATTTGTTTGTATTTGTTTATTCCCCTTTATTGGGTGCCTCCTGGGCAGCATTGCCATTGAAGAGATGGATAAATAACTATGTGTTTGGCCATTCCCAACATCTGCTTAACAAACATATGGCTAATAGAGTAGGAAAAAATTTACTGTTATTATATAGTTATGCTATTACATTGTCAGCGTGTTTGAATTTTATTGGTTGCTTAATTATCATAAGTCTGTAAAATGTGCTAGCCATCCTCTCAAATAACACGGAAGGAAATACCTTCACCTTTTGTGAGAATTCAGCATTTACGGTATGAAATATTATTTATTACATGAGTTTCAAATAGCTCTTTCAGTTAATTTACATTTATAAAAATGTACATAGCTAATTGTATTTTAAAAATGTATAATTTTGATATTGAGTATGAAAAGTGACTTAACACCCTTAACTGAAATTTAATTAATTGTTAGTCCTTAAACTCAATTGTTCAAAAATAGGATTTAGAACTGAATTGTTGTTTAAGATATTATATATAATAAAAGTGATTGTAATTTTTCTTGCATTGTATTTTCTTTTAAAATGGAGATAAGTTTCCAGTTTCCTGAATGAAGATATTAAGTAATTTAAAAATGTATGAGTAATAAACAAGACTATATTTTACAATAACAAATAACATATTTCATGATTCACAAAAAAAAAAAAAATAATAATTAAGTAGTTAAGTATTTCTGGCAATAGCTTATTTCCTGGTAGCATATTTATTATGTTATGAGCTAATATAAACAATTATGAACATTTTATCCTCTCTGTGTTTCTCTTTCTTCAGCATCTTTTTGAATATCAGAGCCTATCAGTCTGATTTTTCCTTCAGTTTCAGAAGTGGTACCTAATTCCCCTTCCCCTCTTTTTAGCAGGAGCAATATTGAAATCTTAATCTTTTATTACTTTACATCTTAATTATTTAATAATTCAGATGTCTGAAAGCTTAAACTTATGTGCTTCTTATTAGTTTAGAACATAAATTCTGCACTGCTCTTTTTTATAGCTGAAGAACCAAGATGCTAACCCAACTGGGAAAATATGCACACCAAAGAATAATTTCTGAGAAAAAATAATTGCATACTATTTAATTTTATTAATTTGTAGTCAGAAAGAATGTATCTTGAAAAAAAGTGCTGGTGAAACTTAAATCGTTTTCAGAAAGAGATTACATGTATAATAAATAAACACATGAAGGGATAAATATAGGTTTTTGATTGATTGGAGCATGTTTCAAATTGTGTTGCATTTTGAATTAAATTCTCATCTATTTAAATGTAATCTTAGATTTTTATTAGTTTCAAAATCGAGTTATTATTACGCATTTAAAGAAAATATGGCAAAAGTCTTTTTCAAAGACCATTATTCTGCCAGATCTCTTGAAATAACAAGCAGTTTTTTCCGAAATTAGCTCACATTTAAAGTTGAGATTTGTTTAATTTTAAGGCTAATAGTGAAATTTTTTACTTATTAAGCATCATCATTATTGTAATTGTTTTTTTCTTTTAATTTATTTTATTTTGCTATTTTCTGTTCTGTTTTACTTTATAAATGGTCAGCAAAATCCAAAAAGTATTAGAAATATTTTATATATTTTGAAGATCCCTATCAGCATCACTAGAAATATATAGTACTTTTATAAAAACTAACATACATCTAAAGCTGACTTTTGCCTATTTTAAATACTATAGATAACAGTTTAGATATAATATAGTTTGGAAAGTGCATATTGTTTGTTTAATGGAGTATTGCAACAGGAACGAGAATATTTTTCCATAACAATTACTTGAAAAAAAAATTTAAAATATTTACCTTTGAAACATAGCATAGAACCATTACAAAGAACATACACATATCTTTATGTCATGACAGCTTCCAAAAGTCATTGTGTAGTACTTATTTTTGTTTACGCCAAGCAAGAGTCGAATTTTAAAACTAAGGGGCAGGGTAGAAAAGACTGTACGACAAGTCCACCCCCAAAATAAGGGGATGCCTTCAGTGTTGTCCTGACGAGGAGCCAGCAGTTGGTTTTTTTAGATATCTCCTTTCACAGAGAGGCTGAAAAGATGATGCATTTCAGTTAAATCAAGGTCTTAAGATCGAGAAATAATACACACCTAATGGAGTGTCTGGTTCACTTATGTTGGAAACTTCATAGGGAGAGTAAACATTGCATCATTAAATGTTGGAGCCATCTCAACTAGGGATAAACTTCGAGATTTTTTAGGTCTTTGACCTTTATCAGCTGTTTTTGACAATCACACCCTTTTTCAACCATTTCCTTTGGTTTATAACCATTGCATTCATCACAACTTTATATGCAGTGTTCAGTATAGGAAGTCACTTCTCTTCCTTCTCTCTTTTAACATGTCAATAATTTTGAGATTCCTCCTCTGATACTTTTGGGATTAATTTCACAATATCAGTGTGGGTAGTACCCCAAATATAAACACACTACCCATTTTGCTTGAACTATTTTAAAAGCATTTTATTGGCTCTTGTGTAGTTTAATTACAAAGAACACAGCTCAGGGTTCGTACTTTTTATCCTAATGGCTGTTTCCAAAAGGCACTGCTCAGCATGTTTATTGTGATCAGTGGCAGAATCCAAGTTCAAAATTTAAAGGGGGGAAGAGAAAAGTCCTTGGAATGAGTCCAATCTCAAAATGGGGGGAGAAAGTTACATAGCTTTTTGACAGTGTCACAGTATTAAATAGTTTGGAAATTGTCAGTGAAATAAATATGGTCATTGCACATTTTTTCTATTACTAAAAAAAGCATTATGTAAAAAATATTTTTTATCATTGTTTTAAAACTGTTTTTGTTTTCCCTCTCAAGCCTGGAGAGTGTACTATCAGTCGTGTCCTAACTTGGGATCTGACCAAATATCCAGAGTGACGTGTTGATACAAGGGAAGAGTGATGTATTTCTCAACAAATTGTCCTCAACATGCTGTATTATCCTTTTCGTGACCAAGCAAAATAAGGATATATATTATGCCTTATATTATAAATATGATATTCTTGAATGGTACAAGGATGAAATTGATGTAATTCCTTAAAAGTATGAAGGAATCTGGACTTCTCTATTTCTTATCATATTGTTAAATATTCATTTCATTATTTTAGATTTTAAGATTTATTTCATGTTAGAGATATATATATTGTACAATGAAATTTTGTTTTGCTTTTAAAATATTCATTGTATGTTGCATTACTTCTGATTCATGGTAACAGACACTAATTTTGTATGAAAATGCAATTGAGGGTCATAAGTTATAAGCATACAAAATGTAACAGAAATTGAACTTGCTAGTTTTTTACAGTACAAAATTTCTTTAATCTGTTATCTTATCAGGGTTGCCATGCTACCTGGAAAACCGGAAAAAGTCAGGGAATTCGGAAATTGACCAAAAAATTCAGGGAAAAGTCAGGAAATTTAAGTGTTTTAGTCAAAATCTGGAAAAGTCAGGGAATTTCATATGGCAATCCCCCCCCGCCAAAAAGCGAGTTTTGCACCAACGTTGGAAGCAGATAACTTTCTTGGGGAATTATATCACATTACGTGAGCGTCATTTGAGCAGCTGGCCTTAGAGCCAATTTTCGCACCTCCAAATTGTGTTGTCTATTAGAAAGGCAAAGCAAGTTTCCCGCAACTTTTGGTTTCCAGTAACCTCGAGAATCTAGAGACTCGCATGCACATATGCAGTGCATGTTGAACTAAAGAAAGATATCTTCCTATTCTCTTATCAAACAAAATCAGTTTAATCCTAGTATAGGGTACATGAAAGTTAGAATCAAAGAATATGTAGAATAGAAGGAAAACCTCTCTGCAACAGACGTGGCTCCATTCCATCATAGAGGAAAACAGCTGTGCATGCGCGATATATCCATCGCCAAAGCTCGAAACCGTTGTCGAAGTTCGAAGGTCACGTTATCAAGAGTTCATAAAATGAATATCGTTTAAATCTCTTTAAACGCTAAAGGAAAAGAAAATATTTTTTGCACAAGTAAATTAATTCATGGATTAGTTATTTTGGGGGAGGGGAAACTACGAAAATCTGTTTTTAAAATTATTGCGAAAAATCCAAGAAAATCGTTCTTTGATAAAACGTTTCTTCTTGGAATTTTCGCAATAATTTAAAAATGGATTTTCATAGTTTTCTTTTTTGTCAAAGAACGTTTCTTCTTAACACGTGTTTCTCAATTTCCTGTACACATCGCGGTGAGGGAAATTCTGGCCACCAGGTTCCGTCGCCAAATCCCTTGGCAAAGTTTCCCTCCGCTTTCTAGCGGCATTAATAGCATTTACGTGTATAGAACCTTTTCATCTTTACATAAACGTTCTTTGGTTAGAATAATCTCCATATATGGTACAGCGGGATTTGTCGACATGATGATGCGCAGTAAAAGGGTCATTTTGGTCTTGGCGACAATTTTCAAAATCGTGCCAAAAAACCTTACCGTATACTAGGCATTTTACCGCAAAATCTTTTTAAACCTTTTTTTTTTTTTCTTTTTAATAAATACCTTGCCATTTTGCAGTAAAATAAAAAAAAGTAATCAGTCATCTAGGCTAGCCATGTAAATAACATATTCGCTAAATATCGTTGATTTTTCTAATTCAATTTTTAAGTAATTATTTTTATGTTATTCATATAATTTAATGTTCTTCTTCCCTCTAAATTATTTATATTAGTAAATAATATTTCCAAATTTCAGGAAATTTTCTCTGGCATAATCCAGAAATGAATTCTAGCAGGTATGATGACATACCATCACGAAATTTAATGCACATTTTTTTTCCTTATGTATGCTGCAAAATAAATATAAAATACCTCAATTTATTAAAAAAATATCATTAAATATATTTATTTCTTTCGTTTAGCTGCAAAATGTCTGCAAAAAAAGCCTTATTTTATTCCAGATTTGGCAGATTCTAATCTCAATCTTCAGGGGAGAAAAACAACTCCTATTATAATTATATTTGTGTTTTTAAGTGTTAAGGTGCCTTTTAAGAAGACACCTCACACAAATTAAATTTACCTAAAATCTAACGTAACTATTTAGCATTGCGTTGTGATTTATAAGAACAGGATTAGCCTTGTTTTGAACTGGTGATGATCATGAGTAATAATTAAATAAAACATACAATTGTTATCCAATGTATAAATCTTAAATTTTATTAAGTTTCTTAAGTTGAAAAGTAAACAAAATTATCAAAGTGAGTGTACCAAGAATAATTAAGAATAAATGTCCTCTGGGATTTATTGAATAATTGAGTGAATTTGCTACACAATACAAGTAACACCATAATTAATTTACCTCTTACCACAGTCAACATACATTATGCGGATAGACTGGAATTTTCTCGAAACATACCTGGAAAAGTCAGGGAATTTCATTTCTCCTGTTTGAGTGGCAACTCTGTCTTATTTCTTTGGTCAATTTAAAAGGTACTTTTTTTTTAAAAAAAGAAATATTAATTCCACATGATCTAGCTTTAGTAAAATAATTCATACAGTGGGAATTTATACAAACTTTTTAATTCAGTTCAGTGAGTAAAAATTTTTTTTTAACAGTTTGAAAGCACTAAGTGTTGAATTTGAATTAAGTTAAACAAATTTGTATATATACATAAACTACTATAATGCTAAATTATTTGTAAAAGGAGTCAAAATGTGCAAGGTACAAAAATTTATCTCATAGAAAGAACATCCTTTGGAATGTCAGGCTTTATAAATTGATGACGAGAGACCTAAATTTGGCATTCATTTAAACTAGTTGTATTCAAACTTTATGGTTTATGACTCCGTAAAAGTGCAGACAATCCCGAAGAATAATTTTGCAGTCCCAATCAGAGTATTCACTCTTAGTTATATAATATTAATTCAGATTTTTAAGGATTTTTATCTACCTTACTATTCTACTATAAATTTTAACGACCCCAAATAGTGTCACAACCTATAATTTGAATGCCACTGATTTAAACTGGTGGCTCCTGATATTTTATAGTCAATGCCATGCTTAACATAAGTGACATATTAATTTTATCAGTTTGATGCAAATTATTTAAAAGACGCATTCTTCGAATTCTTTTACATTTCACAATTTGCAGAGGCTTCATTGCTCAAATATAATGTTAAACACAGAAGTAAAATTTTAAAATGTGTGCTTCAAATTCGAAAATTTTATGACACATTTCATGAATCATTGACTGTAGTGAAAAAAATATTGTTAGTACAGAAATTTTTAAAATAATTAAAATTTTATTTTAAGTTATATAAATATTCATAATTTTTCAGCAATCCAAATGTTATCCTTTTAAAAAAATCATTTAAATTTAAAAATGAGTATATTGATTGTCTGTCAAAGATATTGCTTTTGTGACTTGAAATAAGCAAATGACATCTTATTTCTGTTCTTCATAGGGAGTAAAATTTGACAATTAGATATGAAATAAATTCTAGAATTTGAAATTCACTTTTACTGCTTATTTGTCAATATTTGTGTATTATTTATCACAGATTTAATATTGTGTGTGTCCACTTCCTTTTTTAATTGAGATGTAAAGAAAGTTTACTTTTTCTTTAAAAATAAGAATAGTTATCTTTTTTTAAAAAATTATTATTATTATTTATTTGGATGATTCTTGTATAAGGATTCAAGATATGATTGCATTTGGCTTGAAATGAAGACAGTATGATTGCATTTGCATTGAAATGAAGACAGTGTTTATAAATTTTTATTTATTTTCAGAAATTAAACCAAGTCTTAAGTTGCATATTATGCCTTGTATGCAGTCCTGCATATTATTTACATCAAAATTTAATAATAATCTTAATTTTATAAGGTAGCTTTAATTTCAGTGTATTGGTCAAAGTACTTATTTCTTAACTGTGGATTTATGTATGGTATCTGAAAACTGCTATTTTTTATGTCCCTGATTTTCTCTTTATTATTGTTTGTTACATCTTTGAGTATGGAGTAGTACATATTTATTGTCGATAACTGTACATTGTTCTTTAAATTCATTATCATTTTCATTATTTACTATTGCTTTTATTCTGTAATAAACAATTTGTACAATAAATTTTTATTTAGAAAACAATTTTTCTTGAACTTTTTTTTTTTTTTTTTGTTTGTTTGTTTGTTTGTTTTTTTTAAAATTTTTTGCTTTATTATATAAGTTTGCCTAAATGTTGCAGAAATAAAATAATACAGTCCTTGGGAAGATGCAGGAAACCTAAAACAACCATCTGTGGTGTAAGAAGGTTTCTCAAATTTTTTTCCTGTAGGTTTTGAATGTGGTTGGTTGCCATGGAGAGATGATGTTCAGTGCCTGTGTTTACTTTTAAATAATATTAGTAACTATAAGATGTGGTAACCATGAGAGGTGTTGGCATTTACACTTTGTTTTATAAATTCTCCTAATATCTAAAACAAATATGCAAACTCTCTTGATTTTCACCTGTATTCTTGCCAGTCTGATTTACAACGTATTTCTGCCACTTTTGGGGGGTGTGGAATTTCTTGCAATTTTTACATAAATTAGTTATTTCATTATTTGCTCCCATAAAAGCCATTTCAGCATCTGAAATCACTTGATTTTTCCATAGGTTACATATAAAAGTAAGAAAAACACCAAAGCAGTTTTATCAATAGCCATACATATGAGAGGAGATATTTTTGAAAACATGTTTCAGTTCTCCATTAAATATCAGGCACAATTGCAGGTTACCTAGCATACATTAACTAATCAATACAAAGTAAATTTAGGACTGTTGTTTGCACTTTTATCTGACTGATATTGTCTGTCCAAGCATTTTTTAAAAACTTTTGTGGAATACTGTTAGATTCTATCAACAGATGGCACCACATGTATCATAAATTAGCTCAATAAGTAATAAAATTGAACTTTTAATCTCTTGTTCTAGAGGATTTATGATTTTCACTTTTCAGCAGTGTTTTTCTCTTAAAATGTTTTATTACTGCAATGCCTAATAGACTATAGTAACAAGTTTATAAGAGTTACTTCAGTAGTTTGACTCTTGTCAAGCAAATCAGCAATTTTGATATTTTGCGAAGTTATTTAAAGTTTAGCAAACATACTGCTTTTATAATGTATCTTCTGTCAGATTTTGATTTATCAGATGTTTGTACATCAAATGGTACCATTTGTTTCATTTTGACTTGAATAGTTTTTGAGAAATTTAACAAGAATGTGTGTGCCTAATTTTGTGAAATGTGAACTGCTCTGTTTATATTGCTTCTCTTGTCAGCTGTGGAATCTGCAAACATTTCTGTCTCAGATGGTGATTCTAATTGAATTCTGACTTCATTAGAATTTGAGAAGTTTAAGAAAAAATACATAATAATATTGTAATAATTTATCATAAGAAATCTTTCCATAAAATTTTGAAGGCAAGTTTGTTAATTATTAAAATTAACAAACTTGCCTTTGATCTTTAAATTTCTAATTAACTACTT